AATTTTAGCAAGATACCTCTGGCTGTCTAATTTTTTCTCAGCATCAGACGCGATGGGATTTCTGTTGTGGAGACTCAAGTTTTTGCTTACTTCAGGGGAGGTTTACCCTGCCCATTTATGAGTGCTGGTGCTTGTGAGATGTCCTCTTTGCTCCACCTGACCAGGGTGCAGATTTCATGTAGAAGTGAGGCTGGGGCTGGTTCTGAGAGGGACTTTACCCATGGGTCATGAGGCCTCTATTCTGAGGTCCTTCTTCCTTCTCTCTTGCCTTTGTTAGGCATTGATGGGTCTGGGGAAGCAGCCTACATCCAAATGTTAGATAGAAAGAATAGCAGTGAAGGTATCTGGAGAGTTTTCCTTTACAGGCTTCAGAATCTAAAATATATGGAACCACATTTGAAGGAAAAGTACTGGTCAAGTTGGCCATGTGTGAAGGCACTAAAATAACCCACCAACTTCCTAACACATGTACCTTCCACCTTGACCCATGGAGGTCACCCCTAGCTGGGATGGACATGTTGGAATGGACGGGCTCCTACTGACCATACCTGACACTGAAGCAGAGAGGGATATGTGTAAATAAGTGTGAAACATACGGAATTGAAAATTAATACGAAGATGAAATTTACTCTCAAAGGTGGAAATATGTAATCTAAAAAGCACAACTTAACAACAATGATCTGGTCTAAATCCAAAGGGAATTGGCCACCATAATATTAGGTGTCAGGGATGGTGGCCCAGACAGCCAGAAGATGAGCCACCGTGAATCACCACCAGCTTAGCCTTCCAGGGGTGCACGGTGAGGCTGGTCACCTGTGAGTCATTCACTCACAGGTCAGCATTTCTGCTACAGGTGCCTCACACATCCTGCTTTGGTTTCTATGTTGTAGAACCCAGATAAAATCTTATGGCCACCCTCGGCAAGACGCTATATTATAAAGACGTTCGGGTCTGACAAAGCTAGAGCTTCAGTGTTAAGTGAAAGTCGAGAGGGAAGATGGTAGGCACGACTGCCTGGCATTCCCTGTCCTTGTGCAGTCTCCTCCTCTTGAGTGTGGACTGGACCTAGTGGTCTGTCCTCTTGGGTAGAACGTGGCGAAGGTGACAGGTTGTCACCTCAGTGATTTGATGGCACAAGATTGACCTGGTTTTTCCAGCACATGCTCTCTGTTGTCTTCTCAGCCCTTTGCTTTGATCAAGCAAGCCGCCATGTTGGAGAGGCCCCATGACTGAGCCCTGAGAGCAGGAAAAGGCCCACAGCTGAGGAGGGCTGGGACCCTCTGTCCAGCAATCCCGGAAGAGCCCAATCCTGAGAGTGACTGCTTTCTTCCTCAAGTCTGTGTTCTCATCTCTCAGTCCCCACTCACGTAGCCTGCTGCTCATAGCCCCTCTGCTCCTTACCTCCTTCCATCCCACACTTACTTACCTGCGACTGTTTCTGGCCCTTTCAGACACAAGTGTCTTCAGGTTCCCTGCCTCTTCCCTTTTCCTCTTACACCTCACTTGCTGCTCTTATAAAGCCCCACACTAGTATGTATAGAGTCATGGTAACGCGCTAACTTTCAGGTAATTCAAGCATTGGGCCAAGTCTGCAACAAATCATCCTCTTGAATCCTCACAGGAAATCTACAGGGAGGGGGCAGACAGGAGATTCATAGAGGTCAGGAAGTCAAGAGGCAAAGAGACAAAGTTAGTTGATAGTTAGCAGTGGAGCCCAGCCCCAGGTGTGTTTTCTTCAGACTCCGAAACCCTTGCCTTTGTGCTGCTTTGGTTTTTCTATATCACTGTAGTCCTGATTTCCTTCTGAGTTTTGTTCTATGATAGATGCAACTTGGTGTGTTTATTTGAATTCTTCTTGACGTTGTAGTTTTCATCATTCAAATCCACCTTTCATTTCTACATGGACTTTTGAATCTCTGGCTCATGGAGGACACAGGGGCTTCTTTGACCCCCACCCACGATTTTCCAGAAGAAGGGTGACATAATGAACAGGGTGTCCCAGCAGTGCAAAGTCACCCTCACCAAATGTCATCCTCCAACCCCGAGGGGCTTCCCTGATGCCACGAAGTACTAGATTTGTGGCTGGCAGGTCACCTCGGAAGGGTGAGTGAACATTAGGCATTATCGTTTTCTTGACTTCATTTCCTACTCCTATGGGGAGTTGCATTCGGTCAGGGAAATGCTCAAAGATGGAACTGAAGATGAAGGAGGAAGCAGCCCCTACACTGTAAACCTGTACCACAAAGCCTCATTCTCCACCGTCTCCCAAATGGGAGAAATGCCAGCGCCTCTTCTTATGTAAAAGCCAAATGCTGCAAATTTGATTCTATGGAAAGAAATAACATTCCAGAGCCACTGTGGTGAGATTTCAAGAGCTTTAGAATTACAGATTATGGTTATTTTATATGATGTTTTTCTGTGCTAGAGTTTTGGATTCATGAGCCTTATTTTTCATTCTATGTCAAGCTTGGGCTCCTAGTTGATGAGGTTGTCACAAGCAGGTCCATCAGATTTGACTTCCAGAGCACTATCTAGAAACCATCTAGAAGGTTATTTTTGTTTGAGTAGGATAGTGGCTGTCCTATCCATCCCAAGGGACTGAAGCCAAAGAAGTCCTTCTGGCTGCCCATGCCACCAGGAGACCCGAGCCAACATTCAGAGTGGACCAAGGGACCCAGAGTAGCTGTTTCCACCTGTTTCCTCCTCCTCCTCCTTCCAGGATTCTGATGAAGCCAGGTCTTGTCCTGTTGCTGTAGAGCAGGACCCCTGAGTCCCCCACAGCAGGGAGGCCCCAGGACCTCCTTGTGAAAGCTGTGCTCTCGCCCCAGCCCCAGCCATTGAGGGAAGCCTCCAACCCCACAAAGGGCCACACCCACACCCTGTTCTTGGACAGCTTTGTTTCTTCTCTGGATTAAGAGTCCAAGGTTCCCAATGATGGTAGGAATGGAAAGTGGGTTCCATGCCCGGGAAATATTTCAAAGAATATGACATGGGGAAAAATTCAGTCTTTGTTCAGTATGTGTATGTTCTTGTTGACAGTCTTATCTTCACATTTTTCTTAGTGCTGACACCCTGATTATTACCATCTCCCCCAGGAACCGCTTCCACTTCATGCTGCTCTTATAATTACCATACCCCCTCCCTTCGAGACCTCTCTTCTAATCATTTCCCTTGGGCCTTGGGCTTTCAGTCTCTTCTAAAGGCTCAGCTTCTTCCACACCAGAGCCTTAAATCCTGAAAGGGTGCACTAGGAGATCAGTGCCCTTGCGGGGGCCCAGAAAACACGCAGTGGGAGACATTGTCAAGAACACCTGGACTCTTAACCAACTCAAGTACCAGCAAGCCTCAGACTGCTGGGTGGAAACTAATGCTTGTGAGGCTTCAGCAGAGGGCTGCCCTCTGCATGGCTCATGCCACGTTTCCACTTCTTCTTTAGTGAAAATGAGATTCAAAAGCAACAATACACTTTTTCCTTCACAACAAAATAAGCAGTTTTTCATGGCAAGGCAAATGCAATCACTTCCCAACCATTGGTGCCCCACTTAGGAGCAATTTGCTGTAGGAGAATCATCGTGGATACCTTGCAGGAATGATTTGCGGTTTTACAATAATGTATGTAAAGTACCAATTAATACTCTGATCTTCGCTTTGAAATGCCTGGGGAGAGAAGTAAACTATGCACTCCTGGCTTTAAACAGTCTGGGCTGGGCTGCCCATTCCAAGAGGGGCTTAAAGAGGTGTTGAGGCGCTCCCGGGCAGGAGCAGGAGAGTGCCGTGTGGCCTGCATCGGGGATCCCAGGCAGTTTGCAAAGCAAAGGAGGGTTTGTAACCCAGTAAGTGCTCGAACAATCTACTTCATGCCAGGCCCCAGGAGTCTCATGGTGAACCAGGTAGACAGGGTCCTGGCCTCAGTGAGGGGACAGGGGCTGTACAGATCCCTGCATAGTCCTGACATGAACAGTCTGGTGCTATGGGGCCATGTTTCGGGAACAGGCACCCAGAAGCCTGCCCCGGCTTGGGCATTCAGTGGCGTCGCCCTAAGAAAGGAAGTGTAAGCTGAGACCAGGAGAAAGGTAGGACACGGCCCGGCCCGGCAGAGAGGGGAGCTGCGGTGGGGAAGGCTGCACCCAGAGGAAGGGAGAGGCTGTTGTCAGGTGGCTGGGCCCAGGTGACAACTGGGGGTGACTGGTGATCTGTGAGGCTCCAAGGGGTGGAAAGAAGGGCTGCTCCTGGGTATGCTGGGGAGAGAGAGGGAGCAGTGTGGTCCCTGCAGGAGGAGTGCAGGGTGGTGTGGGTGTAATCAGAGGGGGTGCTTTTGTTCCAGAAGTGTCCTGTTTGCCTTCTCTGCAGGACAAGCTGGGGAGGTGGAGTCAGCCTTCGGTGCATTTTGTCTGTGGCTTGGGCCATGGGTCTGTGTTTTGGTTTGCAGACAGAGGGGAGGGGCCATCCTGGAGGGAGATGCAACTCCTGGACTGATGAGGCTCGCTAATGCCAGGCAGATGGCCTGCCAGTGCCAGAGCCTGAGAGGGAAGTGCCAGTGGCCCTGGAGCCCATTTACCAGCTGCAGAGTCTCAGGGAGACCCGGGGAGGCTGATCTTTCAAGGCCATTTTCCTTCTTGGTTTGGTTGAGTTAGAGTCAGGATTCTCTGTCTGCCCGAGGGCCATATCTCCTGCCCCTCTGAGCTGCCAGTGCTTCCCTATGGGTCAGTGCAGCAGCAGCTGTGCAGGCCCAGGGTGTGCTGCTGGGTGGATGCGGCTGAGCACATCCTCCTGAGGTGCCATGCACACTGCCACTTTGGGCTGGCACCAGGCCTGAGGGGCAGAGAGGATGCACCAAAGGGCTGGACTGCTAGCTGGCTCCTTAGGGGCTGGGGCACAGTTATCCCAGGGGCTGAGTGGACCTTGGGACCCTTGAGTGGTCAAGGGAAGAGGATGGAAGGAGGGAAGCTGGAGCAAAGCTGTGAAGTGCTGGTTACACAGTTGTTCCCAAACCTCTGCAGGAAAGATGTCCTTCGAGGGAGCCCGGCTCAGCATGCGGAACAGGAGGAACGGCACGCTGGGCAGCACGCGGACTCTGTACTCCAGCGTGTCTCGGAGCACGGATGTGTCCTACAGCGACAGTGTAAGTCAACACCCCGCCTCGAGACAAAGCGCCACTGTGGCAGTCGGGATTACTTGGTGATCAGTCTGCCTTCTTTAACCTTTTAGACAAACCCTCAATGAACCATGTACTATTTGTGGCACAAGTTCTTTTGTTTTTGTAGACTGTAGAAGCATTTTCATTTCTGTGTTGTTTTTCACATATTTCTGTTTTCCGGTTTTGTATAACTGCCACTTCAATAAGTCATTGGATAATAACGCCTTTGTGAATGACTTTTGGGAAACGTTAATATGCATTTCATTGTTTGATGCTGAGTGGTCTTGCTTCCGATTCCATGGGTTCAGGGTTGATTCTGAATCCTAGGTCCACTGCCCAGATCAGGACCCAGGCTCTCAGGTGTGGTGCTTGGAATTAGTTCTTGCAGTCTCCTTTCTCATCCGACTCTTTGGCCCTGTCTCTCCTCACCCTGAGCCAGTGTCCTTGTGGCCTTCAGTGCTTGAAGATGCCCAACCATGGCTCTCAGGGGAGCTGAGCTGGGGGGGCGGTGCCAGCAGGAGCTGGTCCCTTAAATCTGCTGCCACCGTGCGGGGTCCCCTGCTCCACAGGTTTTCCACACTCTCAGGCCCTGTCTTGTGCTCTCACTTGTCACAGTGCAGTCTGACATCTGGTCCCACCATGAGAAGTCTAGACAGCAGCTATCTTTGCAAAGAAAGGGAGCGAGTAGAAGTGGGATACAGGTCGTGTCAGACTCGACTCTAACTTGTGCGCACCACAGGGTTACTTTGGGGTCTATCATTGAGCTGTAAGCGAAGTCACACAAGCACGCAAAAGCCTTCCACCCTCCTCCAGCTGAGGTCTGCCTCCCAGCACTAGGACCAGCAAGGGAGGTACTCGGGGTGCAGAAATTAGGGGCTCCTGCTTTCTGGTGCCACCCTGCACTTGCAGGTCCTGAGGCCTGGGCGCTTCTGTGGGTTTTGCTCCCGAGTCTCCCCTGAGTCCTGGCCCTGTGAGAGAGTGGACAGAGGTGGTGCTGGCTTCCCCAGTATTCCCACCATTTGCCTTCTGCTGCTCTGACCCCGAGCCATGAAGCTCCCCCAAACCGCATCGCCACAGCCCTGTCAGCCTCAGGCAGCAGTGTCCCGGAGGATGGAAGAAGGCTGCTGCTCCCACCTGCCAGGCCCCTGTCCCCCGTGTCACCCCTCCTCTCGTCCCAGGCCCTCAGACCTGAGGACCACCCCGGGCTTCTCAGCACCGGGCTTCCGCCTCGCCCCACGCATGCGCCTCGCCCCACGCATGCGCAGGTCTCCAGAGTGCATCTCAGAGCGAATTTTCAGCAACAAAGCAGTCATCCCACCCCTCTGAGATGATCGCTAACTTCACAACTTACGCTGGTTTTCTCTGTTTCACCTAAGTAGTCTCAAGATTAATTATATGGCCAAAAATAATAAGGAGCAAAATGGGTACCACAGATGGGCAAGGTTTGCAAGAGAAGAGCATAGGAACTATTTTTGTTCTCTAAATTTTTCTTGTGAAATAGACATATGTTTTCCACCTTTGCCCATTTTTTGAAAACATGGTATTGTGGTTTGAGTATTCTTTCGTGAATTCTTTATTTTTCAATGTATCTTCTCCTTCTCCTCCTTCTCCCTCTTTCTTCTTCATCATTATTGCAGTACTGGGGATTGAACCCAGGGTTTTTGCACTGAGCTACATCCCTCATTCTTTTCTTTACTTCTTTATTTTGACACAGGGTCTTGCTAAGTCTCTAATTTGCCCAGGCTGGCCTCAAACTGATAATCTTCCTGCCTCAGCCTCCTGAATTGCTAGGATCACAGGCATGCACCACATACATCCGGTAGATTTCTACTTCTTTCCTCAGCACTGTTTTTGTGGCTTATCCATGTTAATCCATATGACAGTTGTCCACTCATCCCACTGCTGTGCTACTACTTTCCCAGCCTTGGGGTATTGGACATTTGGGCTTCTGGATTTTGCTTTAGGAACAATGACATTGCTAACATTTTTGGGTGTGCAAGAAAATGCAGTGTGGAAAATGCAGTCTGGACTGAAGTGGGCCAGGAGAGGCACACATGTCTCCCTCATGGGCCTGGCTTTTAAGGAACAGGATTGATGGGAAACCTCCTTCTAAAAGATGGGAAAGTGGAGACCCCTGGTCTCCGTTCTCACATTCCTGAGGACTTGCTCAGGCGGGGGTTGGGAGGTGACAGGACACTGTGGACTTCATTGCAGTGCATGGCTGGTGGTGGCCTGTGGGGGATGCTGAGTGGGGCTGACTCGGGGCCAGGCTGTCCCAGGAGGCCAGCTGTGCAGGACATGGTCTGAGCACTCCAGGTGTTGGCACCTGGGGACCTGCAAGAGGTAGGAAAGGGGATGCCCTAGCAGCCCCAACTCCCCTGGGAAAGACACCCTCCAGAGCTGAAGACTCTTCCATTGCCAGGAATTCTGGGTGCACGGTGGCTCAGGGAATGCCCCGCCCCTCTCTGCATGAGGGCCTCTTGGGCAGGGAAATGGCTTCATGGGCGATCAAGAACAGTTCTCTGGAGTGGCCCTGCCCGCCGTGAGCATGAGGCCTGTGGCCCTCCCTTCACCCCTGCTGGGTATTAATTCTCTTTAATTTTCGGCAAATTGATGGGTGTGAAATGGAATCTCACTGTGACTCTATCTCACATTTGCTTTCCTGCTAATGAGCTTGAACTTCCTTTCATGTGATGATGGGTTACTTGTGTGTTCTTTTACTCAATACCTGCTCCTGTCTTTTGCTATTTTTCCCATTGGGTTAGTGACCTTATTCTTACTGATTCATAGTCCTTATAGATGTTGCCCATCAATCTTCTGATGATTAATATATGTTTAAGTATCTTCTCTCACTTTGAAGAGTGTAGGTATTGTCTGTACTTCCATATATTTCCAAATAGCATGCCTCGAACAATTTAAGGGATATTTTCCACTTGTGAAGGCTCTGGTTGGCTGTCAGAATCAATTCTCAATGTTCTTAGCCACCTTGCTCATGGGAAAATAAAGACACTGATGGAAAGTGTTTTTGGAATATATCTTCTTTTACAACAGCCAGAAGAGGAGTGGAAACCTGCATTGATACTTTTTTATGCTAAAGAGTCATCCAATGCTTACATTCACCCTGGTAGCCTTAAAGACAGGAAAATGGTAGTATGTGCATGTTACCATTTAGGTACCAAAAACTCTAAGTAACTTTTGGAAAAATCTGCATTTAGTTATAAAAATTTAAATGTATTCCTCTTTTTAAAAAAATGTGGTGTACTTGAAGAGCATGAAGAAATGCACATATTTAGTGTTCATAGTTTTGGCAGGGAATGAGAATAAACCAATAATGTGTTATCCAATGATGTTCTTTCTTCAAAGGACTTGATGAACTTTATTCAAGCAAATTTTAAGAAACGAGAATGCGTCTTCTTTACCAAAGATTCCAAGGCCATGTAAGCACTATTTCCCTCCATTTTTGCTTCCATGTCTACACATAAGGTATAATTAACCACCCCCACAATGGACAAATGCTCATTAGGTCATTGTTAAAGTTGTTTTCTGCTTGCAATTCCCAGAAACAGTGTGTGATCAGGAAAGATTTAGCAAGTAGTTTGTAGTTGCCCTTGAGTTACATCATTGCCTATATATTTTTAGCTTTGGCAGTAGAGCAGTTGGAAAAGTCGCTGAGAGGGGCTACATGTTTTTCAATATTCCCTGGAGCCTGGGAGCCCATGCTGGTGGCCTTGACAATGAATGCTGTTTTACAGCAGTTGCTAGGCAACCTCAGGCTTGTGCAAAGGTGTCAATCTCATTGGCTCCTCTCCCAGCTGTGGTCCTTGGGCTTCCCTTCATCTATTCTGGGTTTCATGTGTTTGGGGACAGCATGACTGGGTTACAGAGGTGGCCCCACCAGCCCAACACACAGGAGATCCTCAACAAATGTTAATGAGCAAGTGAGCGAATGGACAGATTGGGAACTGCTGGGCATTCTAGAAGACGGTGGACTTGAGTCTAAACTATTTTAATCCCGCCTCTTGCCCTTCTTGTTCCTCCTGGCCCCTTGTCTTCCACCTGTTGGTGATGGAGGGGAGAGTGCAGCTCTTAACTGACCGGAAGTTGATGCTGTAGGTTAGCAGTAAAGGATTTGCCTATTGTTGCACGGAGGCAGTGAACAGCACAGGGATGGAAGAAGGGGCAGGAGTGTTAGAATCAGCTATGGTTCCAACCTTGACTCAGCTGTCTGCTCGCTATGTGACTTTAAGCCAATTGTTCTTTTCCTGAACTGGATTCTCTTATCTTAAAATCCTAGCAAAGCGCACCTCATGAACTATGGTGAGGAGTCAAGGATTCAAGGTCATAGGACATACAACACCTACCATAATAACTCAGAACTTAAATGTTTTCAGTTGATGTATTTTCTGACTTTGTGTGAGTTAGAAAAGGAACAGCAGAAAAACTAGGAGATCTCTGTTTTGTCATTGATATAAACTTAGTCCTCATGAGTCATTCTGACAGAGTATAAACTCTGGAAGTCAGCCACTCATTCTGTGAATGTTTCATCAAAGGGTTTTGCTGTTTATTCATTTGACTGGTAGACAATGCAGTTTGGATTCCTTCATTCATTCAGCACATGTTTTCTGAGCATCTACTATGTCATAGGACTAATTATATACTTTATTTCTAATACTACAAATCCTCTTGCAAGGGAGCTATGATTATCATTTGACAGATCAATCAACAAAGTTGTGCCTTTTCTTTCTAGCTGCCTGTATTTGTTACTTTTTTGTCACTGAGGCAAAAATACCTGCCATACAAAATTTAAAGGAGAAGTTTATTTTGGTTCACAGCATTTTGACTCACAGTGTCAGAGGGTTCAGCCCATGGTCAGCTGGGTCCAAGGAAGAAACAACATGGTGGAAGGACAAAGCTTCTTAACCCATGGAAGGTGGGAAACAGAGAGAAAGGAAGGAGCTAGAGACAAGAACACATCTTTCCTGGTCATGCAGTGACCTGCCTCCAACCAGGCTTCACCTCCTAACAGCATATTTAGCCATGAGTGCATCAATGGATGAATCCACTGATGAATATAGCACCCCTATTTTCTGAAACCCCCACCTCTGAGCACATGAGACTTTGGGGGATACTTTATATCTAAACAAAAGCACTACTTCTGCTTCTAACTGTGACACTGCTTTAGGCAGGCCAAATTTATGAACACTTTCTCAGTTACAGATGTCTTCTCTCATTGGCTTAGGTACAAGTAGAGGGTCTATGGGGTGTGCTACTGGGACTTGTGGCTGAGAAGCACAGCCATATCCAGGATTCAAATAAAGTTACCCAGTCTAGGTTTCTTTCCACCCATTGTTTCTGCCCTTCTATAGTGAGCAGGCTCTTCATACACAATGAATAAATGGTCCAGAATCTTTGGCTTATGTGTCCTCTGTTTATCATTTTACCAATTAGGCCAAAGGACCTTGTTTTTAGTAATCCCACCAGAAGTCCTGGGTTGATGTTCATGGCTCTTATTGGCCTGTCTTGGGGATTTTGTATCTATTTCTAAGTCCACCTCTGGGGTTGGAGGATGGAATCTACTGGTTGGCTAAGCTTGGGTGATGTGGCCCCATGGAATCCATGTCAAAAGTTATGTTTTCTCAAAGGAAAACCAGGGTGTACTTACTAGCAGAAGGGGAAGTGGATGCCAGCAAGGGAAACCCATCACTGTCCTCTTTATAGTGCTTGCTGACGTCCCAAGCCCGGGCCAAAGTGACAGGAGATGTGGTGAGCAGCCCCAGCTCTCAGCAACCTGAGCAGAGAACAGGGACCTCCAAAGGCCTTCTAGTTACCATCGCAGAATGAATGCAAGGTTGTCAGCCAGTGGCAAAACAGCTTTGGATTTCTCCATATTTATTATTTCTATGGCTCTGTAGGTTCTGAGAATACTCCGTGGACTCTGAATTACTCAAGAGATAAGGGAACCAAATGAAGTGATTGCTAAAACTGACATTCCTCTTTTGGTGCTACTTGCCACAGGAGCTAACATAAGCTACCACAGTCTCCTCTTGGAGACCTGGCAGTTGCCACACCTGAGCTAAGCCCACACAGCCCTTTACTTTAACCCCTTGTGATGTTTGTTTCTTGAGAGGTCACTGGAGGGTGATGTTGGGCCATTGCCTCATTGGTGCCCCCTGGGACATGCTGCCAAGCTAGGGGCCACCTCCTGGCACTCCTGAGGTGGTGATAATCTTCTGAATCCAGGCTAGTTCTCTTCAGTTGTCACTCCCTTGGCTAGGCCAGGTTGCAGGTAGAAGCAGGAAGGACACTGCTTTTACAATATCTGCACTGTGCACTAGAACTTTCACCCATGAATCTGTATCTGTGCTGTCCAATATGGCAGCTCCTTGTATCTACTGATGAACTTTAATTTTACTTAATTAATTTAAATATAAAGCTAAATAACCACACATAGTTAGTGGCTACCCTACTAGGCAGTATAGCTCCATAGGATTCAGACTTTTTGGGTTGGGTGCTAAAACTAGGACTGTGATACTCTCTCTCATACTTTACAGCTCTCCTGTCTGTCATCCCTATTTCTCCTCTAGGTATCTATGCACCGAACATCTTTCTGGAAAATTCACTTCTCTTCTCCATTTATAAACCAGCCTATGCCAATTGGTGCCTAGAGGGCTACCAGCCCATAAACCATCGAGATGGATAGAGCCAGGCAACTCTCTTGCTCATGAGCACCTGGGATACACCCTATCCCTGGCAGAGAGAAGGCTCAAGGATCTGTCTTCATTTGAAGCAAGGATAAACAGAGCAGGAATCCTCTCCCTTATCCTGCAGTGAGCTGGGGTGGATGTGGGCACATCCCAAAGGACAGTGGGAGAGTAACAGCAATGGAGAGAGAAGAGGAACATCAGGAAGCAGCCTTGGCTCGGGAGGTCCCCCTGGAATTTAGAGAATGAGCTGAGGAAACTATGGCCAACTCTAGGTGACTTCTTTTTTCGCCCTTTGGGGCCAGACTGAGTGATGCCTCTGGGTTCTGTTCCAAATGGTGACAGGATGCTGTAGAAGGATGATTTTACATCTGGTTTCTAGCTCAGTATTTATGGCTCTAGGAAATATCGATTGTTTGTTTTAACATTTCAAATGTTTAGAAATAACAATGATTTCCATACTGGGTAATAATTAAGACTTTCAGGTACAAAGAGCTTGTATTAGTCAGCTTTCTAGCACTGGGACATAAGACCTGATATAAACAATTTAGAAAAGGAAGGATTTATTTTGGTTTCAGAAGCTTCTGTCCATAGTTGGCTGGCTCTGAGGCAGAAACATCAAGGCAAAGGGGCATGGTAGAAGGAAGTTGATCACTTCATGGCAGCAAGAAGCAGAGAAACGAAGAGTCAGAAAGGCGGGAGCCAGGGGCAAGGCATAGCTCCAAAGGCACAGCCTTGCAACCTACAACGTCCTACAAGTAGATCCCAACTGCTAACAGCACATTCAGCTACAAACTCAGTAATGGATGAATCCACTGCATTAATATAGTGCCCCATGGTCCAGTCACCTTCAGAAGCCCACCTCCTAACACATGAGCCCTTAGGAGGATATTTTTGATCCAAATCATAACAAAGCTCAACTAGTTTAACTAAAAGAAGGGACTTGCTAGAGGAGACATGAATGCTACCTAAGATCAGAGTGGCTGGGGCTTGAGAATGGGTGGAAGCCATGACTGGACATGTGGAGGCTCAGTAAGTCTTCTCCGGCCACTTCTCATCTCTACCTCTCTCCCTGTCCATGTGCCTCCTTTCTCAGTGTAGATGTTCTGCTTCCATATCTCAGGCCTAGCCTGAAGGGAGATGGAGCAGTTCTTCTGTTCTTCATCCCAAATTCGGCACCAAATTCCCAAGAAAGGGACACCAGTGTAAAGCCTAGATTAACGTCTTGTCCCTGGGCCTATCAACGGTGGAGAATTCTGTAGCATTTGGTCACATGAACGGGCTCATCTTGATCCAGCTGTGTAGACAATGCCGAGGGCCAATTTCAGTCTCACTGGGCCCCTGTCAAATGGGCACTCTCCAGCTGGGACAGCACTGATGCATCAGCATTAACTTTCCCCTGAGGACGGCCAGCTGCTGGGAAGAGTCCCACTGAGACGTGTTTGTTCCTTATTACAGAATCGCTCTGCTGAGTGGCTTTGATAGTTACCTTGGGCTTTCAGTACTTCAATAAATACTGCTATTAGCTGAGCAACTCTAAGTCCATGTAACACAGTCGAAATCAATTGCTTCCAGGCAGTAGAAGCTTGGTCATAATTTGGTCTGGCCACAATTCATCTGTTTCTAGGGTGGTCAGAAAATGTGACTACAAAGCACTAGCTTTTTCCTCCTATTGTATTTTTAGAAACAGTCTTAGAAATGAACTATCACTCACATCAAATGTGACCTACTGCCACCAAGTGTATTTAGAATAATTGTACATTCTGCCCTATGTCAAATGAACTCAATGGTGAAGAACATCTTGAGAATGCAATCCTTTCTCTGTCATGACAGCTATGCACACTCATCCTTGTCTTTTAGAAGGAAAAAAAAGTGCTTTACAAAAATCACTGAGGATGCATGAGGATACAAACTATTTACAAGAAGCTCAAACAATGTTTTCAATATAAACTACTTACAAGACGGTCCATGAGTGCATTCAATTTCTCATTCATTCGGAGGATTTTGCTGAATAGTCTTATGTGCCAGCAACACTGGGATACAGAGTACAAGATAGGTGAACCGGAAGCCATCCTAACAAGATTTCCTCATTTTGCATCTCATTACTTGGCCTAGGGAATCCTTGCTTCAGGTCACCCCATATGGCTGAATGGACTGTATACTGCACACAGATGCTAGGGGTGAAAGAGGGTTGAATTCTATGATTGTCCCTGCATCCTGGTGTGGGTCTACCTCCTCCAGAGGAGGTGCATTTTCCTTTGGGTTCGAGTTAGGGTGACCACATACTTTACTGTAGAAACTGGGAAACTGATTGGAGTGGGAGAGGCATGAATGTACTAGGCGTGGATAACAGATGTCCTCTGAGACCATGTGGGGCAAATCAGGACATTTGGTCACCCTCGAGGGTGGTCGCCCGGGCTTGCTTCACTGCTCCTTTGCTTTGCCCCTCTGGCTTCTTCCTGTGCCAGATGTGTTTCACATTCTGTTAGTCACCAGCTTCCTTGGGAAAACTCCTTGATAAATTCCTAGCACTCTTCTGAATTTTATCCAGAGATTTGACTGGACAGAGAGAGAGAGTAGAAGAGAGGCAGAACCGAGAGGGTGAGACAGGCAGAAAGAAGCTGGGAGGAGGGTGAACTCTGCCTCTGTAGGGGAGGACATGTTTGGGGCCACACTGGAAGTTTTTCGTTGTTACTGTTCAAGATTCAATCCTCAGTATGTAATATAGCCCTGGGTAGACAGGGGTGAAAAAGTTATGGATTGTGTTTCTAGACTTTGTGTTACTGCATTTTTGCTTCCTTTGGTTGCTCCCTCCTTTGTTATTTCTTGACCTCTGTGCATGGCACTGCTGAAGGTCAGGGTCACCTTGATAGAGCTCAGTCCATGCGCCAGGTCAGCTAGATGGTTTGCATCATTTCCAATTCTCCCAGAAGGCCTAGCAGGAGAGGGATCATGCCAGGATGCAAGCGAGTCGATGCACATTGCCAGGTTTGTAATTAGCCCCTCCCAGGAGCTCATGAGCAACTTGAGGCCAGGAATCACATCCAGGTTGCTTAGGATGGTGAGAAGTTCAGCCTGGATCTGACTCATAGTGGGTTTCCGGTCAGTATTTGTTGAATGATTACAGTGTGTTGTGGAAGTAGGAGTGGAAGAGAATTAACCACTTGTCCTGTATCTTTATATTCTCTTCCAATTTCCTGCCATGGGTGTGTGTCATCTACTGGACAAAGTTCTGCTGCACTTTGAGTGGGAAATGGTAGTGTTCATTGCAGTTTGTCTCTGTCTAGCCCAAATCTTTGAAGGACTCCCAAGCAGCTAATGTCCAGTATAGGAAGGATGGTCTCCACAAATCCTGGACTGCTTGGAGCTCCTGCCAGGGGACTACATCTCCCCAGGGAGTACAGCCCATGGGAAGGAGGGCTCACAGCATTTTGGGAAAGCGCTGCTGGCTGGGAAGCTGTCAGGGTGGACACTGAGACCCTGAGGTCCACCGCAGGGCTCCCGGACATTAGCTGTGTGAAAAGTTGAATAAACTTTCCAGGTGTGTGTGTGTCTGAGACACAGTCTCACTATGTAGTTCAGGCTGGAGCACGTGGAGCTCAGGATGGCCTCAGACTCCTGGTGGTCCTCCTGCCTCAGCCTCCCAAGGGTTGGAATTATAAGCAGGTGCTACCATGCCTGGCTGTTTCTAGATTTCATTGCTTTTTGGCCTTTTGGCTAAGATCAAGTGTAGATTTCAAAGACCCACCCTACTAAGAGCCTCCTGACTGCTTATGCAATGATGTGCTAATGAGAGCAGAGTTCTGATCTCCTGTCCTGGCTCCTAGTACAGGGCAATAAAAAACAGGAAGAAAACATCAATATACTGTAGCATCTTTGTGACCAACTGAGATGAGGAAAATACGATGTGATTGTAGAAGGTCTGCAGATAAGTCGTGACTGGACAATTTCTTTTTTGTGTGTTTAAGTTCATAATGCATGGTTCATTCCAAGAAGTAGGCTGAACTATGTAAGTAGGTCGAATGAAATCTGTTCTGCCTGACTCAGGGAAAACGTGTGCAAGTGTGGTTATACCCAGAGCCAGCACATGGAAGGCACCCAGGTCAACGAAACCGAGAAATGGAACTACAAGAAGCACACCAAAGAGGTTCCCACCGATGCCTTCGGGGACATTCAGTTTGAGTCACTGGGGAGGAAAGGAAAGGTAAGTAGGGTTCTCTACCTCAGCTAGTTCAGGAGCCAAGAGAATGTAGGCCACCTCAGTGAGCTCAAATCGTCGACAGGATGGAGGCAGAAAGGTGGGTAGTAACTTCCAAAAGTGATGGCAGATAAAGAGGAATCGTGTAAGAGTCAAAAGGCGTCGACTAGATGACACCTACCGGGAAAACTCCCCTGGGTTCTCACTGAGGCCCTGCAGGGGGCCACCGAGCCCGGCTGCCCAAGGCTGCGGGGGCCCTGTGACCCGATGTTTATATGGGCCCTGTAGGTGACACTTCTGCACCCAGAGCTTCCCGTGGAGCTCACGACAGGGCCTCCTGGCCTCGCGTCTCAGTGACGGCCCTGTCCACAGGCTGGTGGGCTGGCAGCTGGGACCCGGGCCCCTCATCCCTCAGCCCTCTCCTCGCAGCTCCCCGCCCCATCCTTGCCTCCTCCCGAGGAACGGTGAGCATCACCTCTGTCCCCGGCCTCTGGTACCCACAGGGGCAGGGGAGGGCTCCCCACACGCACACTTGCGAAGGCTGCAGGTAGAAGCCCAAGTCCCACCAGGCTGGGGAGACTCTTCTGGGGCCCCCTGTCCCCTTCCTGTGTAGTCACGCCAGGGACCCACCTCCCACCCCCAGTGCTGCGATGTCCCCTCCCCCTCAGCCCTGCAGCTCCCGACGCTGGGACGGGAGGGGAGGGGTGGGGGTCGGAGGAGGAGGACACGACCCCGATTCCTGATTCTCCCCCTCCCCCAGTATATCCGTCTGTCCTGCGACACGGACTCGGAAATCCTCTACGAGCTGCTGACCCAGCACTGGCACCTGAAAACCCCCAACCTGGTCATTTCCGTGACCGGCGGCGCCAAAAACTTCGCCCTGAAGCCGCGCATGCGCAAGATCTTCAGCCGGCTGATCTACATCGCGCAGTCCAAAGGTAGGCACGGGGGGGGGGGCAATTGGCCCACCGAGGCTTCCGTAGAATCCAGACAGATACTCCTGCAACTATGCCATTGATCACGCTTCAGTTCCAGACAGTGTTCCTAAAGGAATGGGCAGTCAAAGAGCTGGCAGAGGATTCCACGAAGAAACTCTTTGCATCAGTGTCCAGGGCCTCCTTAGGGGTCATCCTGCTTTTACGGACTACGATTTTTATTGTGTCATTGACATGTAGAATTTTTATCCAGAATGTTGTGATGAATTCCAATGAAAAAATTAGTCTGCTGTGGTGGATAAAGAGAAACAGTTGATTTCAAAAGAAGGAAATAGTTTTGTTACTCGAGATATCCAACTCAGCATTTTCTTGAACTTTGCATTTTGGCCCTTAGTCCCCAAGCGCTTCAGCTTTCTTCTCCTGAGAGCAGCGACCGCTGTTAGATAGCACATAATCCACTGTGTCCTTAGAATGCCCGTTAGAGCAACTATTCTTTTTTTTCTCCAAAGCTATGTCGTTCTTTCGGTCTTACACTCAGCCTTTCTCTGCCCCTCATGAGTTCGAAGAGCACAAGCCAGTAGCTCCACAGATTTCCCTTGCATTGCATCCCACAGACATCTTTTCACACTTCAGTGCAGTTTATCTGAGCTTCACATTTGGAAATCTCTTTGATGAAGGTTAGCTGACTGACATAACTGAGAAACATGTCCTATTCTAAATATGAAATTTTACTTACTTCGAAGAAGAATCTGGGATCCTATCCCCATTTATTCTTCTCAATTTCCTGACCAGCCAGAGAATCGTTTTGAGTTGTCATTTTGTTAAGAAACTGAGCAGTTCAGCTTCCTTACTACTAAATTCTGCAAACCATTCATTCATTTAGTGAATATTTATTAAGTGTCTGCCTTGTAGCCAGATTGCTTTAGGAGCTAGGAATGTAGCAGACAAAAACAGACAGAAGTCTCCAGCCTGGAAGGGGCCCCTTCCTGTGTACACACAGAAGGCCACCTCTCTCAGGGTGCAGAAGTGTCATTCTATGGGGCACTGGCTGCAGGAGGTGGCTGTGAACCTGCTGAGGGCCACTGTACAGTATCCTTACAATGTGAGGAGGACTTCGGTGGGAGAGATGAGGAAGTTTGTCCTCCGCTGGAGACACTGGTGGAATTAGACAGTGGAGACAAAGAGTGAATGCCAGGATTTTCTTACAAGCGCAGGAGAGGCTGTCCCCCAGCCCCGACAGCTTCTGTTCTTAGAGCTGACCTAGAGGACCTGTGACTGCCCCTCAGGTGAGTCCACGTGGGGACAGGCATTTCCATTATGCTAATTGATTTGTTTTGTGCACACACACACACACGCACACACACAACCCTTGATGCTGAGAATATCATCAAATGTAAATCTTGAAAAGACCTGCAAAGTTGTGTAATTACAAAGCGAAGCAAAATCACTTGCTTGGGGCCATCCCTGGATGAGCCCCATGCTGACCTGACCACTTCAGTGTCTGAGAGCAGCCGCACGGTACCCGAGGGGCCACTGCTTAGCTTCCTTAGTGGCTCGGGCCAGGAACTCACTGCCCGTACAAGTTTCCCTTGAGACCCATTAGACTCGGGCTGGCTGGCCTTCCTCCCTCCGGAGAGGTGGAGGTCCTTGTTGATCTAAAGCGGGACCTGGAGCCTGTGTTTTCTAAGGAGCACCCTCAGGGTCACTGAGGACTGGGGGTGCTGTTCTCCTCCCTGCCAGATGGTGGCAGGCCAGGGTCATTCCATGGTGTGGCTGTCACTGCACATCCTGGCTCTCATGGACAGCAACCCCGCCCAGTGCCCGCTGAGCTGTGCCCCTCGCCCCCCATTGGCAGGTGCCTGGATTCTCACGGGAGGCACCCATTATGGCTTGATGAAGTTCATCGGGGAGGTGGTGAGAGACAACACCATCAGCAGGAACTCCGAAGAGAACATTGTGGCCATTGGCATCGCGGCCTGGGGCATGGTCTCCAACCGGGACACCCTCATCAGGAGCTGTGAAGCTGAGGTACAGGTGGGACAGGGAGGTCAGGTGGGAGAAAGACCAGGGCACGGGGCTGTGGCCTGAACACTGGGGCTCTGTGTGGGAGCCAGTCTGTGGGAAACCTGCCATCCAAGGACGGCCTTTGGACCACAGGAATTAAAAATAAGGATGCTACATAAAGTATTTGAAGAAGACATTAACAGTGGTTGTGTTCTACTCATTAAAAATGTTCCTAGATCAACTGGGCATGGTGGCACACGCCTATAATCTCAGCACTCTGGGAAGCCAAAGCAGGAGAATTGCAAGTTCAAGCTCAGCATGGGTAATTTATTGAGTTAGGGAGACCCTGTCTCAAAAAACAGAACAAAACAAAACAAAAAACAAAACATTAAAGATGAGCTGGGGATGTTGCTCAGTGCAAAGATCCTGAATTTAATCTCCAGTATCAACAAAGAAAGAGAGAGAGAGAGGAAGAAAGAAATCTCAGATTAGAAGTCAGGCCCTTAATTCTTTGTAACATGACCCGAATCCATGCCAAAGAGCTGGTGCAGTACCTCTATTGCTGGGGTCACCACAGGAATTCAGATTAGTCACTGCACTCCCTACAGAGGTCTGTGAGCCCTACTTTGCCAAATGTTTCCTCGAAACAAATTTAGGGAGTAATCAGCACATATTCTGTGTTCAAAATACAAGGTGGACTATGGGGTTTTGCATCAAGCATGGAATTTTTTTTTTGGTACTGGGGATCGAACTCAGGACCTTGCGCTTTCGAGGTAGCTGGTGGCACCACTGAGCTAAATCCCCAATCCAAGCATGGAATTGTTGAGCAGTATCTCTGTGAGTTGAGGGTGCCATATGCAGTTGCATCACAATAAATCTTAAGATCTCATGAGAATTGTTATTGTTTCATAAACTACATTTTCCAAAATTGATTCAAGAGGAACTAGAAAATCTGAACAAAGGAACTATCACTGAAGGGGTTTAAAAGGAAATGAAAATTTATCTTCCAATTGCTCTGAGTTGGATGGCTTAACCAAGTAAGTAAAAGTAGTAATCTAGTAAGTACTAACTTTAAAAACATCTGTTTCTAGTCTTACATGCAGAAGCATGGGATCTTTAAAAATTTCTGCTCAAATTTTTTTCTAGAAAACCATTTAGAAGTATGTGTCATGAGCATAAAAATTGTTCATATTGCAGCTCCGGCAATCATACTCATAAATACATCACTAGAGAGTTTCATATTTGGACAAAGATGTTCACTGAAGTATTTCTTGTAACAGCCAAGTATTACATGTTAATATTTATTACTAAACAGGATAGCTTCAGTTAGATTGCTATACATACTTGAAAGAAACTTATGGAGCTATTCAAGTAATATTTCTAAAGATGTTCTGATAGTATAGAATATAAGTTTTAAATATAAAATTCTGAAAAATGTATGTGGCTAGAAAAGGCTAAATGTATGAAAATCTTGATGACTCAGTGGATCATGGAATTAAATATAATTTTAGTTTTCATCTTATTTTCTGCATTTTCAAATCTTTATAATAAACATGTATTATTTTTAGGGACAAATTTTAATGCTAGTTTTTATTCCTTTTATGTTTCTATTAACTATACTCTTTAGTGACAGTGTAGTTTCATACCAAGTCCATGATTTCGTGGCTGGCTTCCTGCATTCTTTACTATTCCCCTCTGCAGAGTAGCTTTTGGTCTTTTATAGGAGTTGAAACCCACTGTCAAGAACAGTCTTGATGGCTGTCTCCTCCTATGTAGTTTCTACTCAAGGTTCTGCTGAAAAACCCAGCCCTTGAGGATGGGGCTGGAGCAGGACCAAGATGCAGCTGCTATGAAACAGTGTCACATCTCGCAAGTGCTGACATTTCATATTGTTTTAGGATCTCTTTCTGAATGTGTTTCCCTTGTTTTCCATCATCAGTTTTTTCCTTGAGTCAGTGCTACACTTTAAATATCACTGTGCCGTTATCTACACATTAACAAAGATAGCACAGGTCTCTACTCAAATTTTTGTTTTGCAAAACAATTTTGGCTCTTTGTTGTCATGTTTCTTCCCCATAAACTTCTTTGTCAGATATAATCACCAAGACAGAACAACGACAACAAAAATATACACTCACTGAGTGAAGTCATTCAAACATTAACTGATATCAAAAATATTAAAATTATGACAATGCCACATCTTATTCCCATAATGTATGTCCCTCAACTTGTGTGAGTCTTCATCTTTCAGAACGGTTTTACAATGGTCTTTTACAGGTTCTACATCTTTCTTCCTAGAGATTTTATATTATTATTGTTGTAAATAGGGTCTTGATTCAATGTAATTTGTGAGGCATTTTTTCTGGTCTGTATGAAAATATTGATTTGCTTATTGTTGTTTTGAATCAGATACTTAATATACTATCTTCCTAGTTTGAATAGTTTTTCAGTACATTCTTGGAGTGTTCTAGGCTTGCGGTCATATTATTGTTAAATAACTTTCGTTTTTAAAACAGCCCTTTGATTTAACGGTACCTTGTGTCTTTTGCACATCTTCTTGAATTGGCTAGCATACCTGGCATCCCAGTTAGTGGGAATGGATCTAGTATTTCAGTGATAAACAGCATTTGGCTACAGGTTCAATATACATGTATTTTAAAAACTGTTATAAAATATCAACTTTTTATTTCTAGTTTATAATTTTTAAAAATCAAGAATAAATGCTGAGTGTAAAAGGTCTTTTACATCTACAGGGTTGCTATTTTTTTTTTCTTTTATCCATAACCTAACAGTCTGAGTCCAGGAAAATACAAATGATTTTTTTTTTCTTGGTGGTGGTTTGGGGTATTGAACTCAAGGTCTGCACACTGAGCTACATCCCCAGCCCTTATTTCTCTCTCCCTTTCTCTCTCTCCCTCTCTGTCTCTCTCTCTCTCTCTCTCTCTGTTTTGAGACAGGGTCTCACTAAGTTTCTCAGGTTGGACTTGAACTTGCAATTCTCCTGTCTCAGCCTCTCAGAGTGCTGGGATTACAGGTGTGTGTGTGTGCGTGTGTGTGTGTGTGTGTGTGTGTGTGTGTGACTGTGCCCAGCTGCAAATGATTTAATTATCCTGCTGCATTTAATTAGCCAATGATCTGTTAGGTTGTTTGTATCCATATACATAAAGAGATTAGGCTTTGGCTTTTTGTTTTGTAGTTCTTTCCGCGTTAAGGCTTTGGAATCAGAGTTGGGTGCTGGACAGATACAAATAAAGTGGGAATTATTTGTTCTGTGGAAGTTCGTGGGGATCCTCCTTCAAACACCTGGCTGTGTTTCTCTTGCCAATATTATCTCCAGGACCCTCCTTCTTGATGCTACTAATGGCGTGAGGGGCACTTAGAGAATAGAGCTATAATGTTTGAACTTTACTTTCTGCCTTTGTACTGGTTCTGTGTATGTCATTAGTAGAAGCAGTAAGTTTCCTCTCTTCCATGAGTTTTCAACTCACATTCTGTGCTTCTGAGTTGAAGTTGAAAGATCTTTTAATGCAGCTCTGATACTTTATACAACTTTGGAGAGGTGCTTGAGAGTCAGGAACCCATATGCTAAAGATTCTTTTCTTTAAGTTCTTGCCCAGCCTTTTATCCTTTGCTCTTGCCGGGACAATTTATCTATATTATTGTTTCTTTTTATGGTCCCTGTTAGTGTGTGTTTCTCAAGATCAAACCTACTTTAGTCATCTTCTAATCTCTAGCTCTTGGTGTAGGATAAATTCCAGACAAACATACACCTCTCTCTCTCTCTCTTTATATCTATCTATGTATATATCAGTGTCTACCTCTTCTTATGTATCCACCTCCCACACATGTGTACATGCACACACACATACAATATATGTGTACTTTTGAATTCTATCTATTTTAGTGAATTTAGGCAAAAGAGGACAGGGCAATAGACCAAGAGCTAGACTGAGAACCCAATCCTTAGATGGTCACTGGCTGTAGATGTGACAACAGGCAAGTCGACCCAACCATATGAACCTCCATTTCCTCACATGTAAAAGGAAGCCTGTGACATCAGCTCCTTAAGTCTCTTGTACCCTAGGGATCTGGGAGGAGGAATCAGTATAGTTGATCCTGATGTGTAGCTTTAACAGGACCATAGAAATGTCTTCATGCATCTTGGTCAACAAAGAAAATCTCAAAGGCAGCTTTCTCCATACTTTGCAGGGCTATTTCTCAGCTCAGTACATTATGGATGACTTCACGAGAGACCCTCTGTATATCCTGGACAACAATCATACCCACTTGCTGCTTGTGGACAACGGATGTCATGGGCACCCCACCATCGAAGCCAAGCTCCGGAGTCAGCTGGAGAAGTACATCTCCGAGCGCACGAGTCAAGGTCTGTACTTAGGAAGGGGGGTTCAGGACACAGGTGCCCTACAGTGGCAGTTGTCAAGTGCTGCATGGTGAGCCCTCCTGATCAGGTGTCCTTGTTGCTAAACAAGAGCTGTGGTTTCTCTTCTTTCTTCACCTCCCAAGAGTGCTTCTGCCAGGGCCACTGTGATATGAGCCCTTCCACATGCCCAAGGCAGTGACAGATGCTGTCCTCTTCCAGTCATTTGTCAGTGAGAAAGCCTGCTGGCTTCTCTTCTACGAGACAGCACTTCAGAACAAATCAAATCGGGGTTGGCGAACATGAGTTTAAGAAGCAATGAAATTAGCTGGATGGAAATGATGAAAAACAAACCCACTGGTTCCACAACTGGGTGGTTTGCTTTTTTTGAATCTTGGCTACTTCTATGGAATTGAGTGAAAGCCTTTATTTGACCTGGTAATTGACATATACTCTTCCTTCCTCTGGACCAGGTGTTGAGATGTGTCCCACTGTAGAACCCAATTACCTTGTGATTTAGTGATAGACTCCATCTCAGGGACTTGTGGGAGATATTATCAATTGCTTTCCTTTCACAATGAGGTATACATGAAGAAAGATTTATATATACTCTAAACTTCATTAAGAGAACACCTAGTTATGCAGATTTCTTATTCACTCGAGAAAGCATAGGATTATGCAAATGAGTGAAAGAATTATTATTCTAAGGATAAACTTGAACCTAGCCACTCGTGTTAGCAAAAGTAAATCAAGTGCACCCGTTAGCACTTTAAATATCAGGGAGAAATTACCACCTGACCCGTGTCACACTATTACTACTTTGGGGAACAAAGATTCATCCGTTGTGGCCAAGTGGAATGTAAGGTCAAATCCTTAGGCTGTCAGCTGTCACCCCAAGCCCTGGGCTCACGGGGCAAAAGCTCCTGTCACACCTATATGTGGAGGTAGGGAAATGTTTCTATTGGGTTCAAAATGAACTTTACTTTTTATATTTTACAGATTCCAACTATGGTGGTAAAATCCCTATTGTGTGTTTTGCCCAAGGAGGTGGAAGAGAAACATTGAAAGTGAGTCCTGGTTTCATTTTTGAGACTATCTCTTAAGCTTACCCAACAAGTTCACATTTTCAGGGATTTGGGGCTTATCTACTCTGTCCTGACTGCTTCGCTTTATTAGAGTAAGTAGGTAGTGTCTTCCTGCCACATCGTGTTGGTGTGGCAGACTCAGGTTGGTGGCAGGCTGAGACTATCTGGGAAGAGGATTTGAAATGACATGAACAGCCACTGTACTTAGTGTCAGCTTTGACACTAAGTCAGCCTGCCAGAGAGAACAGTGGACATTTGCTCGTGAGACCTAAGGATTGTGATCAGTGTGTGTGCTGGAAAACTGGCCAGTCCGTCTGCAGGAAATGAGCTGTCACACAGACCGGCCTCATGCTAGGTGTCCCCAGACCACTGAAGCCCCATCCAAACGTCTCCCAGGGATACAACAGCTCCGCAGGGAGGAATCCTGAGCTCTGAGTGACTCTGAGAGCCCGAGAAGTTTCATGGCTCATTCTGCACCTGCGTCACTGAGGATCAGAGCAGGAGCTCAGCTTCCTTGCTCACAGAGCAGACTCCAGCGTTCCTGAGTTCTTGGCAGCATCTGGCTTCTGTTTGACTTTTTAACAAAGAACCTCATAGTGACTGCATCCTAACCCGTGTTGGAAGATCCCATTTTCAATAGTTCATTTTTTTTTTTTTTTTGTACCAGGGATTGAACTCAGGTCCTTGTGCTTGCACAGCAGGTGAAACCACTGAGCTAAATCCTCGGCCCAATAGTTCATTTTTGTAAGAAGTGGACATTAGAAGAAAGTAATGTGATTCCTGTTTTTAACTACTATCCATGTTGAGTTGCATATCCCCCCTTTCCCCATCCTGTTTTAACTCTAAGTCTCAGATTGGGGAAGATAGCTGCAGTCCTGGCCTTCCCCTCTGTCTCCAGGGCACATCCCTAGTTATGAGCACTTGCTCACAATGTTCCTTAGAATATAGCTGAGCACTTTTCTTTGTTTATTCTTTCATAGCTCAATGGTCTTTTCATTTATTCATTCATTCAACAGATATTTATTGAGTACCATACCCACTCTGAGATCTATTATCAAGATCAAGGTTAAGTGAACACCTTTTAGGGAAAGACATTTCAAAGAATCACTAAAGAATATTTTTCAGTGTGAAATGGCCTCTGGATGAACACTGGAGAAATAGCCACCCAAAAAATAAGAGCGATGGAGAGAAAATAATCAACAGATGGTTGCATGTATTCTCCTTCTCTCAAAGTGTAGATTTGGTGTGAGGATTTCCTGGCCTAGGGTGGAGGAAAAGACCAGGGAGTGGCTGCAGGTTTAGAGGATGGTGTTTCTGATGGTGTTTCTGTCCAGGGATCTGCTCAGCCACAGAAGGTGGGAGGAGACAGGAGGGCAAGGGAAGGGAAGTACGGAGCTGATGTCTCTTCAGCTTCTCATCCCCAGTTCATGGCCTGGCACCACCCTTACTCCAAGAGTGAGGTGCACCGAGCTGCCGCGTGTGCTCTCAGCCCATGTCTTGACTGCATGCACTTGGCCTGATGGGAAAGGAGTCAATCCTGAAGGAAGGGCACTCGAAGCTCCCTCTGTGCCCCTGTGTGGTTAGATCACCCTAGCGGGCTGTCAGATGATTAACATTCTGATTCCCCTATGCTGGCTTCTGAAGTCACTAGAAAGGAGGCAGAATTGTGGCAGATGTTTATCCAGGAAGTAAATCTGTTTTTATTCTCTTTCAATAATAAGGGCGGGAAAATGATTTGATGGGACAAATATGTGAGAAAATAACACAAAACTTGTAGCTGTTGCTTTTAAGATATTTTTAAACCTTGAAAGTATGAGTATTGGTAACTTCTATCAGATAAGCTATCTGATGATGTTGAATAGAGGCATAAACATTGTCCCTTAGGCCAGGGATTTAGCTCAGTGGTTTCGCCCGCCTGCTGCGCAAGCACAAGGACCTGAGTTGGATCCCCAGTAGCCCCCCCCCAAAAAAATTGTCCCTTAAAGATTATGCCAATGTTTGGAAAGATCAATATTGTCTATAGAGATGTCGTGAAGCACCTCTTTATGGAAAACATGAACCTTTCCATGTGACCTTATCATGGAGTTTGTTATTGGCATAGGATGGTGTATGACCAACTTACCTTTCTCATCATGGGGCAGTTGTCAATGTTTGGTTTGCTTCTGATTTAAAAGAAAAGTCCCAAAGCAAAACATGCAAGTGCCAGTGTGTTGGCTCCACCGACTTGATTTAGAACCTCACTCCCAAGCCGGTTCTGTGGATGACGGGTGTGTCTCACATCTGTCTGCCTCTCTCTCCCTCTCCCAGGCCATCAACACTGCCATCAAAAGTAAGATTCCTTGCGTGGTAGTGGAAGGGTCAGGGCAGATTGCCGACGTGATTGCCAGCCTGGTGGAGCTGGAGGAAGCCTTGACATCTTCTATGGTCAAGGAGAAGCTGGTACGCTTTTTACCCCGCACAGTGTCCCGGCTGCCTGAGGAGGAGATCGAGAACTGGATCAAATGGGTGAGCTTTGGGGGAGATGCTGGAGGGTGGAGAAAAAGGAAGCCACGCTCGTGGGTAGGGGATGAAATACCTGACCTGCCATGCCTGCCCACACCTCCAGCAGCTGTAGGTGTTCTGTGTCCCCCTCCGTGATTTTGAGACACTCCAGCTCACTCAGGTGTCCTTCTGGAGACTGAAGCTCAGATAGGTGACTCTTCAAGTGTCCATGTCTCCTAAGGGGTGTCATTCTGGGCTTCATAAGCTCAGGTCTGTTTGCAAAGCATATGATCTTTAACTTAGGCCATGATTCCAGCAAATGTGCTTCTGGGTTTTGCATACATCATTGACCAGGCAGCTGTAAATTCTTAGAAATGCAGACATTAGATTGAGTCTGCATCTATGGGAGAAACTGACTTTTGCATAATTGCCTATGACATCAACTGGCCTATGACTCAGTTTAGAATCTCTCATCTTTCTTGTAGCAATCATGTGAGAAAAGGCGGACTTACTGGAATAGTTATGATGCTTCTTACTGCTGTACCTGTGAAATACTCTAACGTATTAGCACAAAGCTTTCTAACTTTCCTTTTCGCGACTGCTGTCCATCTGCCATGATTTCTGTGTTTCTGCCTGCTCAGGTCATTAGAAAGCTCACACAAATGCCAGGTGCATCCCCATCAGCCCATTCAGAAGTGGCCTCAGATGGTTGGATATTTTTAGGTGTATGTGCTAACACCTGGAACTTTTTCCACAAAGGAAATCTCAAGACCACAAAGGTTATTTTCATCATAGAACCCATTTCATCGTGAGAACTGAAGGCTGGATTTGGTATAAATAACAACATTTCTTTAACTAGATTAGTGTTCCAATAGTATTCCATCTAATCATGGAAGGGCTTTAAAACATCAAATGCAGAAAGCCCAAATTCCAGAAAAGGGAAGGTCAGGTCTTTGTGTTCATGCTAGCTCTTGGCGTTCCTTAAGACAAGCTTGTGCAAACCAAATCCTTATAAAACAAAACAAAACAAAATGACAACAATGACAAACACCAAGAGAAGTTCATTCTGGGAGGCTGAAGCAAGAGGATTGAAAATTTGAGCCCAGCCTGGGCAACTTAGGAGAACCTATCTAAATAAAAAATACTGGGGATGTAGCTTCGTGTGAAGGCCTTGGGTTCAACCCAACCTTCTCAGGTGCCCTAATACCTTCTCCTCTGATTCCCTGGTACATCTGAGTAAGTTACGTGAAATGGGACCATGACAGCCTTATTTAATGTCACAGGGGGTCCATAGCCAAGAAGCCTGGTGGAGCAAAGGAATCTGAAATAATCAGGAAACAAATCCTTTGTTCATCAAGCCTCACTGTCTGAAGTTTGAAACTTTAAAACACAGATGAACCTTCCTCTCATAGTTGGGAGATAGCCCTGGTGCTGAGCCAGGGCCTGAGTAACATTGCTTAGATGGTATTTGTACTGAGAAATCTGCCCTTTTCAGAGTTTACTAAAAACGTAGTTTTATATGAAAGTTCCTGGGATTTTCTTTCATCTTGTCTGAGTCCATCTGAAAGATAGATGTAAGAATAAGGGCAAGTGGAGATGAGAATAGCAGCTTTATGGGTGGTGAGGGCAAAGCCGATAGATGAGGTTTGGAGGTGCCCACACCATGGCCTTCTTACACTGGGCTCTTCTGTGAGAGGCGTGAGCCCACCCAACATGGGCAGCACAGGGCAGCAGTTGGCCTGCCTGCCAGGCCGGCCAGGTGACTGGCTGCGGACCAGAGCACCGGTAGTCAGCAAAGAGCAAGTCCAGCATAGGAAAGCAGCAAAGCGCTGGGCAGGGCTATAGTCATTTGCCACCCCGAGAAAAGGAGGGGGTTGAGCATGGCCAGGGAGCCATTCTGAGGGTGCTTTTTCTTCATAAAATAAATGTGGGTAGCAGAAGGAGGGCTCCCTCTGGCAAGCATTAGTTTATCCACCAAGATGGCCAGGGGCTGTCCACCTTCTCTCTGTACAAGTTGATCTATGAGGTCCTGGCCACATCATGTCCAAAGAACATGCCACTTAATGGGTCCCCCCACCCTTTATGATGGATTTTGATTTCTACTTCAAAATAACTATTGTAGGCAATTCATTTTAAACAACCTAAAAGTTAGACACTTTTTGTCTTTTGTGATTATATTATCCTTTCTGGGATCTAATTCATATTCATATCTAATGAAGTATCGTATTTGTAATTATGTCAATCTAAAACATGGACTACAAATGAGCATTAGTCTAGTGTTTTAATTATACATTCATTGGGGATTTCACAACTGGTACAGATTTCTCAAAAGACCAAGCTCAGGAGTGGGATTGTTAATTAAAGAATGTAGACATACAGTGAAATGCAAAATAAACAACTTTCGGGGAAGTTCCAGTGACTTCACCGATCACGTGGATGATCAACCCCAGAACCTAAACTCTTGGTTTCTTGACCCTCCAAGGAATCTCCAATCCTGCTTCCACTGGGACCACCCCCTTTTTAACACCTCTGTCATAGCATCTCCCCCATTATCTACTCTTGAATTCCTCAAGAACTTCACCTTCCATAGTAACCTAATCCATCAGCTAATCTTGGTGTCATCTCTTTGCCCATTTTTAGCCCTTTATGCAATTGTCAATCACTGAGCATAGACAGTATGCCAGATGTTGGATTAGACCTTTCAGAAAAGAATGGTGTGGGCTTGTGGGAAGCTCTCTGAGAGCTGAGGTCTGAAGGATGAGCGGGAAGGAGGTGAGGGTCGGGACTGTGTTGGGGGAGTGCCCTGCACCAAGGCACTGATGTGGGGCCTGGTGTGGCTACCCCAGGAGCTGGGAGGCAGCAGTGAGGAGAGGTTTGAGTGGGACCTGAAGAGCTTGTGAGGGGCCAGAGCAGGAGGCTCCCTGAAGCTCTTTGGGGGTTTTGCTCTTGCTCAAGCATAATGGAACGCCATTGTAAAGTTGGAGGCGGAGGAAAAGTGTAACGGAGCTGTGTTCACAAAGCTCATGTTGGAGGAGGAGGCACAAGTGTGTGGGGAGTACGAATCCAGGTAGGGGGCTGTGCAGCTCTCTCTGGAGCTCATTGGCTTGGTCTACCTCCAAATTCATTTTCTTCCTTTTATTTGCATGGCAAACAGGTCTCACCCCCTGGCCGCTGCCCACCCACTTGTGCCACCTAATCCTGGTATCCCTGCTCCTTCCTGGCCACGTCTAGTAGGACCCCTTTTCTTCAGCCTGAGGAGTGTAGTGAGGAGAGCGTTTCCCTCCATGCTGTCGTCCCTTCCTGCTCTCTCTCCTCCCTCCAACTCCCAAGGTCTGTGTTTTCCTGGAGTTCCCCTGTGTTCTGAATCAAGTCCTCTGTCCCCACCTTCCCCAGGAAACAGAGGTTTAAGAGCTCACCTCCTCATCCCAAATCCAAGGGCCCTTCCCAGTCCACAAGTCCCACCTGAGGCTGAGACTTCCCTCTGCTGCTGAGCAGGCCGCTGCAATCCCAGGTCTTCATTTCACGTGTTGCCAGGGAAACCCACTGCTTACTTATCCAAACCTATCTAACTGAAGCCAGACTGTCCTCCTCCTCCTCCGGAAGGGCCCTTTCCTCACCAAGCCCTCACCAAGCGCACCAGGGCCCCAAACCTCAGAGTTGGGGGCCCCTTTCATTTAAAAAATGTTTAAGATTAAACATTATAGAAAAATCCCCAAAGCTAATATAGCAAGTTGTTTATTTCCTTTATCTGGTCACCAAGTCCTCTTGCTTCTTGCTTGCATTTGAACTTTTCCTTTAGGACCATGCTTGGATGGTTGCTATGGTCTTCTCTGTGCTTTTCTCGTTTAATCACTCATTTGACAGCTGAACATCTGTCCTGGGCTTTGAGATACACACACACACACACACACACACTCATGCACGCTCACACACACGCACACATGCACGCCGCTCTCAGGTTTTTGATAGGGGCTTTTCCATATTGTGTGCTCTTGTGTAACCACTACTTTATTGTCACTGTGGTCAAGAACTCATGACTACATCTTAGAAATTGAAAGCTATGGGATCCTGTACTGTTGGTGAGGGAAGAAGGGCTGGGATTCCCTTAGTGATACTCTTCTAAAAAGATGGGGTAAAAGCTTTCTCACTCAAAGAGACCAGTTTATGTTCTTCAAGCTTCTAATAAGTTGGCTAACAATTTTTTTCTTTAAATATTGCTAGCTCAAAGAAATCCTTGAGAGCTCTCACCTGTTAACAGTCATTAAGATGGAGGAGGCTGGGGATGAGATTGTGAGCAGTGCCATTTCCTATGCCCTGTACAAAGGTGAGTAAAAACAGCTTTCACAGTCTCAGCTTTGTGCGGCTTCCTTACTTTAAAAAAATTTTTTTGGAACAGGGTTTCACTGTGTAGCCCAGGCTGGCCTCGAACTCGAAACAATCCTCCTGCCTCAGCCTCCCAAGTGCTGGGATTACAGGCATGTGCCACCATGCCCAGCTTCCCTTACTTTTTGAACTTAGGTTTCTTTTTCAAAGAAGAGTTAGTGAAATGCAAGTTGAGCATCCCTAGTCCTAATCCAAAAGTCTGAAATCCAAACTGCTTAAAAATATGAAACTTTTTGAGTTTCCAATTGATTCCACAAATGGGAAATTTCATACCCTGAAACTTTGTTTCATGGACACCGTTGTTAAGAATAGTGTATATTCAGGCTAGGTGTCTAAAGTATATGAAACTTAAGTGAATTTCGTGTTTGAACTTGGGCCTCAGGAAATCTCACTATATACATGCAAATTTCCCAGTGTCTGAAAGACTTCAAAATCTGAGACACATTTTGTCCCAAGCATTTCACATAATACTCAGCTCTGCCATCTTGCACTTAATTTTGATTCTACTCCTGGGAGTACAGACTAGTGTTGCCCTAGTGAGGCATATTTCACTGAATGTATGGATCTGACAGAATAACAGTTTTATGTCATTAAAATGCTGATCAGATATGATCATGATGTTCTCCAAAGAGCTGTTTGTAATAGTGTTTTAAAATAGCTTCTCCAGTCTCAGTCTCTTTTGCGAATGTTATAAAAACTGCGTCCTCTGTCCTAGATTTACACACAGACGTGCACACTCACACACTTTACATTTTGCATAAATAACGTTGCCTTCGGTTTCAAAGGCTCACAAGTCTGAAGACGGGTATGAGCGAATGTCAGGTTAAACAGTTTCCCCTGTGGGCTTTGCTGTCTTGGAACTGCATCCAAGTGGTATTACCTGAGGTAATCACATTCTTGGCAGTGCACTGCCATCTAGGGTTGGGCTGCCTGATTAATTCGTGCAAAGCACACAGAGTGGGGCCAGGCATGGCAGGAAGTGCAATTTAGTCCTTAGATATTTATTAAAATCATTCTTCTCGAGCTGGCCAGAAACTTGCTTAGAACAGTATTTATTAAATGGAATTATATTCTTATAAATTCATAGATACAGAGAATATTAGCTCTGGAGAAGGCAAGAAAAACATTGTCAGGTATGATCCTTGAAATATAACATTGAGGGAACCTGAATCTATGAAAACATTTGAATATATCATATTTCTTACGCAGTGAGGATAGGCCGTGGAAAGATACCATAACTTCGGGGATCCTCGTTGAGGACACACAGATATGGCTAAGTAATGATGACGTGAAATGACAACTCTGAGTGTCTGAGTCTAAGAGGATGCACCTTTGACAGATGGCTTACAGAATGGCCCGATTCTTATGTAGGGACTCTTTCCTGTCGTCCTGCAGCCTTCAGCACTAATGAGCAAGACAAGGACAATTGGAGCGGGCAGCTGAGGCTCCTGCTGGAGTGGAACCAGCTGGAGCTCGCCAGTGATGAGATCTTCACCAACGACCGGCGCTGGGAGGTGAGCACACTGGAAAGTTCTGTTCCTTTGAGGAGGCTGTGCGGGCTGTCCTGCTGTCCGGGCTGTCCTCCCAGCTGTCCAGGATCCGGTCTCCATGGGAGCTCCACCACAGCTGGTTCATTTCAGTGAGGTCCTCCAACCGATGTTGTAGGGGTTGTCCCCATACATCCCCGTCACCAGCCTCACTTTCCGTGTGTGCAGTGTGGGATAATAACATTGACTCGGGAAGCTACTGTAGAGACAATAAAGTCTGAGCCCCGAAATAAGATACTATCCATGCCCTGGTGTCATTCAGGGTTCATTGCCTTTCGGCCGTGAAGCGAGGGGTGATGCCATCTGGTGTAGAGCTGCACATCTGCTCTCCATGGTGTGTAGGCAAACGTGTGGGGAAAACAGGCACAAGATTATTGGAAGGAGTGGACAGTAGCTTGAGTAAAAGTCAAGACAGCAGCTTTCTTCCTCCTCCTTCCTTCCTCCCTCCCTTCCTTCTTTCCCTTTTTTTTTCTTTTTGGTGGTGCTGGGGATTGAATCCAGGGCCATCACAATGAGCTACATTTCCCGGCCCTTTAAAAATTTATTATTTTGAGACAAGGTCTCCACTGACATTTTAAGTTCCCCAGGCTGGGTTTGAACTTGGGATCCTCCTGCTTCAGCCTCCCACAGTGCTGGCTACAGGTGTGCACCACTAAGTCCCACTGTCCCCTCTTTTTGGGCCCCTGCTCCACTTACCTAGTCAAATTCTGATAAGAGATTTGTCACCAGCGACGGTTACAAGAATTGACTGAAGACACTCCATGAGTGTCACAGAGCTGGAGACTGGGGACTGCCCGAGGCCAGGGAGCCCTTTTACTATGGAAGCTGCATAGTAAGGTAGTGCAGACTGCTCTCCCTGGAGGCAGCTTTTCTTGCTTGCGGATGTGATTGGCGTTTTGAGACCACATTTTCTAACAATGTCCCCTTGTGTACATCCAGTGCTCAGTGCACCTAAGTACTCTACTCGATAGGAACTATTACAGACCAGCGTGTGGAATTGTAAGAGCTGCTTCTTTGTTTCCAGCTATTCTGAGTTAACCGAAATCATCAGTGGGCAGTGAGAACAGACTTAATTTTACCCACATACGTATAGATTGGAAGGTGTGCTCACTGTACCACTTGCATCTTTAGCAGCCAGATTCAGAAAACACTTTCAAGGCTGCCATTGTGTAATCAAAGACTAAGACTTGATTTCTGTTAGCATCTGATCAATTTTAATGATAGCAGTGCAAATAAAGTAATGGCTCATAAATTTTGAAGTGATTCATTCCTTTAGCAAACATTATTTCATACTTGGTCTTTGCAGCATAATGAATCCTGTTACACATCCCAAGGCTTTAGTTAGTGGAGGAAAGTAGAACTGTAGATGAATTAATTAATTCATAAATGAATCCGTGTGTGAAATGTTCCATTTCAGTAAAGTCAGATGGTATAAATACACACAAACTCAAGCACATTTTGAATTGCAGATTTAATTTTATCAACTCAGATTGTTAAAGGTGACAGACATAAGGATGAAGAACCAGCCCATCTCGTGACCCTGAGCAGAGTACTTAACCTCTATGTCTCTATCCTCTCCTACAGTGGTGTGTTGCAAGAAAGCTGGCTACTAAATTTTTAGCAACTTTGTGAGCTGATCATTAAGCACAGTCATTACTAAGACTCAAATTATGCAACTTAAAATTAAATTTTATAAAAAGTAAAGGTAAGAAATAACCAGAACACATCGTTTTCTAATTCTTTTACTGCATTTACTATTATCCATGCTTGGAGGTTATTTCTGACAGCTGTGTCTGTCTACTAGAAACTCCATGCACAGGTGCACTGTTATTCCCAATTCTCCAGGGGAAGATGTCATGTTTGAAACTGAAAGTTGGCCACGGTGGGGGCATTTTCACCATAGGAATCAGCAAACACTACAAGTCAGCCCTATATTTTCTTTTTATTTGTTTGTTTTTGTTTTGCGAGCCCTATATTTTCTTTCAGAGAGCTGGTTGTTAAACATTTAGCAGCACACCGCTGGCCATTTGCCTGAAAATGGAGAAGATAGCAGCAGCACCTACCTCTTGGGGTTGTTACCATGGTTAAATCGGATAATGATTAAGAGTATGCACTGGGGTTTAGAACATTGACACTTATTAAGCACATATAAATATTTGTTTGAAAATAAATAAAAGTCTTTGGAATAATGATAATATTTGTGTAACCTTTTACAGTGCATAAAGCAATTTCCTTATTAATTTGCTTTGCCCGAGATGCCAATCCATGTACAGATAATCTCATTTCTTTTTGGTTAATACACCAGAGCTCTGTGGACATCACAGAAGGAGAAGCAGCGGTGGATTTTGAGAGCCTGCTCTGAACTTGACTCAAGGGTCTTGCTCTGTGTTGTCCCCTTTCATCTTCCTTGTCACCTATTTCAGAGAAGGGCAAACTGAGGCTCAGAGACAGTCTTGTTCTAGCTCGCATGGAGACCAGGGCTTGGGAGTAAAGAATGAGGTGTCTGACCTCAAATCCTTTTTGCTGTCTTGTGTGCCTGTGGATCTCAACAGGGTCTCTAGACAGGGGGGCAGCGCCACCTGGCATAACCTGCAGACTTGTTAGCCCTGCAAATTCTAGGCTCCACCTTGGACTTCCTGAGTCAGAAATTCCAGTGTAGACTCCCAGCATGCTGCTCACACCAAGTTCCCCCAGGTTTGAGAAACATTGCCTGTGCTTTGAAGTGTGTGAGCCAGGGGATGGCAATGTGATCAGAATGATGCATGAAAAGTGGGGCAAATGGACACTTACCTTGAGGGCAGATGAGGAAGTGCGGCTACCATCTTCCCCAGAGGAGCCCTCTCCCTCGCTGAGCCCAGGGAGAGCCAGCATGGGCACTCAAAGGAATCTTGATGATTCCCTCTCTAGGCAGTGTGTGACCCCCACGACGTCAACACTGGGCAGAAACAAAAGCCATTAATGCTGCCACTGGCAGAGGATGCTCACTTAAAGCAGAGGGCAGGCAAGAAAGATGAGTAGAGTGGGCTGGGTGGGCCATAGTAGAGGGCAGTGGGGACCATGAGGGTCACAGAGCCTGGGTTGGAGGTGCAGCTGCCACTGGCACTAGCTGATGGTCCCTGAGTCGCCACAGCCTCTGGTTTCCACTCTTAAAGTTGGATTTTAATGCTAGAAATGTAGATTTTGATGAACCTTTGAATTTTGAAATGTTGACTGTAGAATCAAAAGTCAAAAATGCCATAGAGGACACGTAGGACATATCCAAGAGCTCTTGAATCCTGTAGCCCACTGGTTTGTGGCTGAAGTAAACACTGATTATTTTAAGATTTTCAGGAAGCTCCTAAGGGGTGAGTTTCATCAGTAATCCAGAAAGTGGAGACAAAGATAACCAATAATCTCCCCTTCACACAGCCAAGAGCCCAGGTCATATCCGAGCTTGCATCTGGCTGAGTCCTCTGACCCCCTCAGGCTGCCTCCCATCTGGATGCTTGAAGGAAAACCCAATGTCATGTTAAAATTGAAAAGATAAACTTTATCCTCAAAATAGGACTGAAAGCGAAGTTGAAGACATTCCTTTGTGGCTGAAAATATGATGTGGTGGAGACGGAGAACCACCTTTGGGTTTCTCTCCTCTAGACCCAAGGTGTGAGTTTTCTTTCTGCTCTTTCTCCTTAGTCTGCAGACCTCCAGGAAGTCATGTTTACAGCTCTCATAAAGGACAGGCCCAAATTTGTCCGCCTCTTTCTGGAGAATGGCTTGAACCTGCAGAAGTTCCTCACGGATGACGTCCTCTCCGAACTCTTCTCTAACCACTTCAGCACTCTCGTGTATCGGAACTTGCAGATTGCCAAGAATTCCTACAATGATGCCCTTCTCACCTTCGTCTGGAAGCTGGTTGCAAACTTCCGAAGAAGCTTCTGGAAGGAAGAGAGAAGTAGCAGAGATGACCTGGACGTGGAAATCCATGTAGGTAATGGTAGAGGTCTCTGCTTGAATTCTCTGTTCTTTTGAGTTTTTCTTGAAAATATTTCTCTACCTCCATCTTTCCCACTCCCTACCTCATTGTCATAAAGCACCTGTGTTGATGCTAATAATTCTTTTCTGTCTTTCAGAGTAAGGTATCTGGTGAGTTTCCTGATAGAGTTAATCTCTAGTCACCCCCGATGCTCCTTTTACTGATTTCTTCCTTCTCTAATCTCATTTTCTCACTTTCCTATTGCTTTCTCCTAGAATTATCTCCCAAGTGAAATAATTGCCCCAAATGCCCATCTCAGGATTGCTTCTGGTGAAACCCCAAAGTAGTCATTATCATTTGTAATTCTGGGATTTTCAGAGTGTGTTTTAAAAATCCGAGTGAGCTAAGTGTTTGCAGGAGCTGAAAGTGTTTAGAGAGCTTCTATTTGACACTACTCATGCCAAATCCTTCTGCAGTACAACATGGAACTGTGTCTCATGCGTTTTAGACTTTGGGAAACATGAAAGGAATTGAAAAGGAATATGTGGACTTAATTGTTCTTCTATCTGAAAATGTTCCATTGGAAGATATGGAACCCTAGATAGGAGCTGGGAGTCTAAACGACATGTTGGGAATTAAATCTTTGGACAGCAGTCCAAAGAAATGAGCATGTTTTTATGTTGTGGAAATTGAATTTAAGCCCCATGAGAGTTAAATTCAACTTCAATGATTTCTTTTTCTAGATGAGAAACAGATTTATATGATGAGGAGGAATTACTTTCTCTTTGGCCAGTCAGAAGTCATTCAGTTTTTAAATTGCTCTCAGCACATCTTTTCACCATTTATACCTTTCCACCTAGTTGTAGTTTGTCCTTTATGATAGCTGAAAGATTTTGTGTCAAATTGTACCACCTGGTGCATTGCAAAAGTGAGAACGTGGCCACTGTGCTGTTAAAGTGGACTCATGCACAGAGCTACAGGGCTCTCCGCTCACAGGGTGCTCCCCTCGGGCTTCCTTGCTCCGTTTCCGTCCTTAGAGTAGGGCACTAATGTGATCTCCATCTGCTCATGGTGACCACGTGCTCCGACCCCTCCCAGGACGCGTCTTCCATTACCCGGCACCCCCTGCAGGCTCTCTTCATCTGGGCCATTCTGCAGAACAAGAAGGAGCTGTCCAAGGTCATTTGGGAACAGGTAAATGTCGAGGCTTGGGCTGCATTTACTCCAAATGCATGCGTTGTTGTAATAGTTCTGACTTCACAACTCACATGCCTAACCTAAGATAACCATTAGTTAAACGGAACACCTGACGTGGGAGAACATGATTGCACCTCTGTGTGCATGTGGATGGGGGTGCTTGGGAGGGGCGGTCCCAACGGAGTGGCTGTGCTTGTGGGGGGAGGGGTCCTTCAATAGGCACCTGGTCCTCAGATGTGTGTGGGTGTAAGTTTGCTTCCCAAGTGAATCATGCAATTTAAAAATTAACTTCTAACTTTATTGCCCTGTGGGCAGGAATTAGGGTCTGTAAAAGTTCTGCAGGGGAAAATGCACTGAGAATTTTCTTTGTGATTTAGTATGTAGCATTTTTTGTGAATGAATTTCTGGATGGTGTACATTGAATTCAGACACACACAGTCTCACTGGTTCCCTTGCTCGGGCCTCCTGCAGCCTTACCTCCTCTCCCCCTCCTGGAGCTGTGTCCACTCCGGCATGACAATACTGCAGTGGGGGGAGAGCCCGGCCTCCGCTAGCAGCGTCACTCTCAGCTTCTCATGGCATTTGTCTTGATAGAGGGAGTGATTGAACAATAGGGTCAATGCTGAAATTTAAAAAAATTTATTACAGCAAATTTTTTAAATGTATTATGGTATAAGACACAGTGCCATGAATCCCCTTCAAAATACTCCCCTTGCTTTGAGTTCACTTCTCCCATTCTTCTTCCCACTTACTGAAGCAGTTCTGGAAGTTCTCTTTCCTGAGTGTCTTTACCAGGTGTGATTAAAAAGTATGATGAATGCTGAGGCCCAATGCCAACCAATAGAAAGGCCTAAAAACATGACGCTGTGTCTTCAGCCACTTTATTCACTGGATCTGGCTTCCTGTGACTTCTGGCTCTTCCCCAAAGTCAAAATGACCATGAACGGTCAACTGTTTGAATCAATTCAGGACACTGAGGCAGCCACAACAGTGCAACTAAAGACCCTCATGAGGGAAAATTTCCAACTCCTTCAGAAAGTGTCAAGAACAATAGAATAAATGTGTTTGAAGCAAGGGAGTGTTTTGACGGGGATTCATAGTAATGTGTCTTTTACTGTAATAATTTTAAAAAATTGAAACACATCAAAAAAAATTTAAACACATCATATTTTTATGCTAATTCCACATCTAAGACTGTGAGTATATTTGGGTTCAAGGTATCCCCACTCAAGACTTTCAACATCTTCAGGTTCAAGGTTATTTTGTGTTCATTATGAATTCTACTCTGAATCATTGTGGATAGTTGAGAAGCTATAATTTCCTGCTCTGGCTGTGCGTTTGTCCTTGTCTACATTAATCCTGACTCTGTTACTTCAAGGGATTATGAGTTAACCTAAAATTCTCCAACCCCCCTAAAAAGACCAGAGGCTGTACTCTGGCAGCTCTGGGAGCCAGCAAGCTTCTGAAGACTCTGGCCAAAGTGAAGAATGACATCAATGCTGCTGGTGAGTCCGAGGAACTGGCCAACGAGTATGAGACCCGTGCAGTTGGTAAGTGTGTGGGGCTGGGATGCCAGGGCAGGCGAGGGTCTGTGATGTTGCAGGTGGCACTCACACCCAGGGGGGTGCAGGCGGCAAGCTTGGGATCCCCCTGCTGGCTCAAGTGAGGGCTGCAGACTCCTGTGACATGAGCCTTTGTCCTACACAGGCCTCTTGGAGATGAATTGGGAGTCCTGGGCTCTCTGATCCTTAGGCCCAGGTCTAAGTAACTTAGCATCTCAGGGAGCTTTGGGGTGATTTTTTTATGTGACAGGTCTCAGATTTTATCTGACTTGCAAACCAACAAAGTAGCCTGCCAATATCTCCAGAGTACTTTAGATCCCTGGGTCTGTGACAGAGTCAGTTTATTACGAATGGCAAATGTAGCTGCCCAAGTAGCATCTTGGGTTGGCTCCCATGCCTCAGTGCCCCTGGGGGCAACTCCAGGAGTGGCTGATGTTTCTGTCTGAAGTTACCCAGCATGGAAGAGGCTGGGGCAGCACTTAGCCTCCCTCCCCTGGGTGACTCTGGAAGCGGCCACTGGACAGTTCCTTGCTGTCTGAACTTTGATGAAAACTGGCCAGAACCCTGTCCACCAAGGACTGGACCATTCAGGAATGTGAGAAATCCGGAAAGCTTTCTCCCAACTGCAGAGAGTTCTAGGCTTGCTCGGGTTTTTCCTTTCCTTCTAGGTGGTTGTAAGTTTGCAGTGATGTCTGTGTTATGTGTTGTCTACTGTCTTACAACATGGTTAGCTCTTTGTGTTGCATAAGAGGTGTGCAATCATTTCTTTTAACAAATTAAAATTTCAAAGACAATGCTGCTTTCTGGGGGACCTCAGTTAGGCTATGGTTCCTAATATTTTGACTTTTAAATATTTCCCGAGTATCTGCCCTCTAGTTTCTTTGTCATTAGCCCTTGAAATGGAAGAACACCTTGCATGCAATAGAACAGCGTTTTGTCTACCTCTTTGTTTGTTTTCACACTGTGATTTATCTGCACTGGAATCTCACCAAGAAAACACAGAAGGGACAAGGGATGGAGGAGAGGCTGCCCCGGCTAAGGGGAGGCAGAGGGTCTTGCATCTTCATCCGGGAGCACAGCCTTCCTGCCTGCACCCAGACTGGAGTTCACCAAAGCTGGTGCTCCCTGGGTTCAAGGCCACTGAGTTTCATGAGCAAGCGTTTGTCGTCAGGAACTCTGCTGGCTGCATCGTGTCTACAGGAAATTCCCCACTTGAGGCAGCTGCCTCTGTGGTGGCTTTCACTTTGCCCTTTACAAGCCTGATGCTCATGCTGAGCTGTTTTTGGAGTCAGGGCTTGGCTGGGTGTGGGGTGGGCAGCCCAGTGTCGTGAATTTGTCAGCTGTGAGCCCAGCTCTGCTCTCTGTGGTGCTGCAGAGCTGTTCACAGAATGCTACAGCAGCGATGAAGACTTGGCAGAACAGCTGCTGGTCTACTCCTGTGAAGCCTGGGGAGGCAGCAACTGCTTGGAGCTGGCAGTGGAGGCCACAGACCAGCACTTCATCGCCCAGCCTGGGGTCCAGGTAAGGAGTGCCCAGTCACCCAACAACATGTCCAGAGATGGGCCATGACATAATGCTATTGACAGCACTAAAAAAATAACAGTAGAAATGAATCTTCCCCCCAGTAGAAAAGCCATGGCAGGGCTGGTTGAGACACTGTGTGAGCTGGCAGCATACTGGAGGCATTCATGGAGGCCCTTGGTTCCAGAGATGGTACAGGAGTACATCAGTCAGTCAGCTTTCTGTCACTGTAACGAAATACCTGAGATAATAAACTCAGAAAGAAAAAAGGTTTTTTGATTCACAGTTTTGAAGATTTCATTTCATGGTTTGTTTTCTGTGTACTCTTTGGCCCTGTGGTGAGTGCTTTATGGCACAAGCATGTAGCGGAGGAAGCCGCTCATCTCATGGCATTCAGAGAGCAAACAGAGAGGAAAAGGAGGGGCTGAAGTCTCAGTAGCCATTTCAAGGCCACACTCCCAGTGACCTCACTTCCTTCCACTAGGCCCCGCCTCTTAAAGGTTCCACCATCTCCCAGCAGCAGCAGCTGGGGACTGAGCCTGTAACACATGGGCCTTTGGAAGACATTAGAATCCAAACTGTAGAAAGGAAAAAGACTGTTCTTTGAGTTTCCCCAAGGCAAACAGCACAGCGTTGTCCTTGTGAGCTGGTGTCTGCGTCCTGAATCCACTGTACTCCACAGAGGTGGGGGTGATGGGCCTTTGCTTCTCCTCTGTAAGTGTGCATAGCAGTGGTTGTTGGGAAGAGCTGCTGCAGGGGCACTGCAGGGAAGGGGCTGGTCCTATGTGAGCTGTCACTGCTGGACTTACCATCAGTGGTACCAGTGAGAGACGAGATAGATGGCTGTGAAATGAGCAAAACCAGCCCAGCATGCTCTGCCCAGAGCGAGGTGAACAGCAGTTTGCACTCATACCCGCCGTGCCCTGGGTGTGGAAGGGATGTGGGTGAGATGAGGAGCTAACTCCTGTCGGTCACACCTGTGGTGTGCTTCGTCTCCCAGCACTCGGGCAGATGGGTGTCACCTCTTCTACTGATGAGGGCTGGGGCTCAGAGAGGTGCTGGAACCTGATACTGACTGCACTGCTGCTAGGAACTAGCACTGCTGGATGGTCCCTGGTGGATGGCTTCCTGCTTCTCAGAACATCCATGATGCCATGCAGCCCACAGCAGCACAGTGCTAATGAACAGAACCCACTGGCTGCTCTAAGCCGGCTAGATTCAGAGAGAGTAGTGGCCTATTACAAGGACACCAGACGAGTCTTGCTCTTGCTCCTTTGCCCTGGCTGCAGGGCAGGGGGTTGGAGTGAGACCAGCACTGGGCGTAGCATGTTCTGGGGAAATCAAGCTGGCTGCCCAGGCAGGCCGCACTCTGCACATGGCATCTTGAGCCCAAACCCAGTCTTTTTGATACTGCAGAACATGGGACCCTGGGGAGGCTGGTCCATGCTCACTGTCAACATCCAGAGTCCTGAGGGTTTCAGTCAGATGCCGGGTCATCCATGGGCACTGGAAATCTCACCACCAGGCCCACAGCACTCCTCAGCTGGCTGGACCGAGGAGTCTGGCTGCTGGAGTCAGGTTGCTATATGGGGTCAGTGATATTGGTGACAGTGGCACCCACTCCCAAGGTGATGCTGTCTGTGAGAGGGCGGTCGATGGCACCACTGGGTGATGGCCTGGGGTGCTACCACCAGTAGGGGTCTGAGAGGGAGGCCTGGATATTGCCTGTCTTTGTTGGCCTCCTCCCCAAAGCAGACCTCAAAGTAAGGCAGGAAGTCTGCCCTGGAGACAACCGGAAGCCCATGAGCAGCAAGACAGGGAAGGGGAGAAGTGGACACAGTGCGCCAGTGAGGAAGGTGTTACTGTGCCCACTGCGGACCTGGGGGCTCTCTAGAACCTGCATGAGTGTTGCCGTCCCTGAGGTGTTTAGCCCAAACTGCTGCGTGCTGCTTGCCATGGACTGCCCCTTGGGAGCCAAGCACACTTCTTCCTGCCTGAGGGGGCAGCTCCAGGAGAGTGTGGCTGGGGGATCGCAGGTGGAGCACAGCAGTTCCAGCCCTTCCTGTGGCTTCCCGGTGCCCTGTCACTCAGACCCCTTCCCTTTGCCAGGCTCTTTCTGAGGGCTTTGAGGTCCTTGGTGTGGTCAGGTTTGTCCCCACCCCTCTAGCTGTTGGAGGCAATGGATTTTCTAATTTCCACCATTGTGAATGCCACTCTGGTCCCACCCTCAGGGGCTGCTACAGTGGGGAGGGGCGAGCTTTTTAATGCATTTCAGCTTGAACTGAGGATGTTGTCTCCCTTCCCAGCTTCCTGTTAGCTTCCTGACCAGAGCGCCCCATCTGCCTCCAGAAGGGAATCCCCCAGGGCCCCAGAGACAGCTCAGGCAGCACCCATTCAGGGCCACAGGAAGGGCTAGGACTGGCTGCCTGGTGGATTGATGATCATTAAAGACGAGGGGCTGGAAAGTTACTTGTTTAAACTTCCATAATTGGAATTAGGGATGGTTGAAAATGCGTGGGCTTATTCAGTTTGCACCCACACATCCTCTGTTGTAAAGCTCACATTACCAGCTCAGAAAAAGACATAAAATCAAACATTCTCAAATTGTTTTCTCAAGGGGCCCCTTAGAATCCACATGACTTATATGGAAGAATAAAGACATTTATGAGTCATGTATTTGGGGAGTGTGGGGGTGGGGAAGAGAGTACACGTATCCTCCATGTAATTGCACTAATATGGACCCATCTTCTTCGCCCGCTTCCCTGCAGAATTTTCTTTCCAAGCAGTGGTATGGAGAGATTTCCCGGGACACCAAGAACTGGAAGATTATTCTGTGTCTGTTTATCATCCCCCTGGTGGGCTGTGGCTTTGTGTCATTTAGGTAGGAGCCAAGGCACATGCAAGTGTGCAGGTGTGTTTGTGAGTGTGCAGATCTGTGTGTGTGTGTGTGTGTGTGTGCTCTTGTGTAAAGGCTTGTAAGCCCTAGCACGTAGGACATGCACCACACTATGTATGCATGCAGCCTGCCATCTCCCCTGGACCTTCCTGGCTTTGACTTCACACAGGTAGCCACGAAGCCTTGTGTTCGGTGCCCAAGGCGGGATCTGGATTTGTTAATCACAATCCGCCCAGGGCTGACTTCCGGCAGGGTCAGTCTCAGGGTGAAGCTCTGAGCCAGCTGTGGCTCCTCCTGGCCTGGGTGTGGATTTCTCTGTTTGGGAGCAGCCATGTGCAGCCTGGATGTTGACGCGGCCCTGGCCTCTCGCCTCGGTGCAGGAAGAAGCCTATCGACAAGCACAAGAAGCTGCTGTGGTACTATGTGGCCTTCTTCACCTCCCCCTTCGTGGTCTTCTCCTGGAACGTGGTCTTCTACATCGCTTTCCTCCTGCTGTTTGCCTATGTGCTCCTCATGGACTTCCACTCAGTCCCACACACCCCGGAGCTGGTCCTCTACGCGCTGGTCTTCGTCCTGTTCTGTGATGAAGTGAGGCAGGTAGGTTGGTTGCGGGATCAGCTGCCTCCTGGCGTCCTCGGTGGGAGGGCCAGAAGTTGCTTCTGAAGCTCAAAAGTCATTGCTTTCCTGAAATAATGTTGTCCTCTTTGGTGGTCTATGAACCTGGAGGCGTGTTTTCCAGCTCTCAGCAATCCAAGGGGGTCTCTGAGTCCCAAGTTGGCTCCCAGCCTCTGCCGACTGCTAAGTGGTGGAGGGGGAGTGAGTCAGGAACAGAAAGCACCTGGGAGACACTTCAGTCCTTGCTGTCAACAGGAGCCAGCTGGTTCTGGCCTTTACCAAGTGTCAGGGGAGCCGAGAGGACTTTTGAGCTAAGAGCCTCTGCGTGCCCAGCACGTCAGAGCGACAATGATTTCAAGTCCTGTGATCCCTGTGGGCTTCAGGCAGTGCGTGTGAATTACCCATCATGCTTCTCTGCAGTTCTCAGGAATCTGCAGTTCGGGCCTCTGTCCACCACCTCGTCTGGTAATTGTTGAGGAAGTCAGTGTTGATGGGGAGACAGTGCTGTCCCTAAACCATTAGGAAAACCCCTTTCAGATGTAGTAATTTGTGCATGTTTCACAACTGCTGTTGCTGTCATTTCTGTTGTCCCTTCTGAGGCCACGCCTCAAAATACATCAACTCAGCAAGTATATCCTAGGTACTTAGCGCTGACACATACTTACGGTTTGTAAAGTGCTGGGTTTGGTGCCCGAAGAGATTTGGAAGGGCACAGAATGTTGTTCTTGCGCGTACAGAGCCCCCGAGCAGTCTAAGAACCCCAAGTTGTCTCAAAATGGCATGCCAACTACGGTAGACCTTTTTGCGGATGTGGATTCCTGGGTTGGGAAAGATGCCTGGTTCCCTGGTTCTCAGCAGGGCAGTGTCTCCATTAGGGATGTCCCTGTTCCGGTTCCTCATTTCCTAAGGAAACCAGTCCTGTTGGATCGGGTGCCCGTTCTATGGCTTCATCTGGACTTAGTTTCACCTGAAGTGGCCCAGGTTCCAAACAAGGCCCCATTCTGAGGTCCTGGGGCTGAAACCTCCAAGCTGGAGACGCCTTCCATAGACCTCTCTCCCTCGGCAGGAGCCCACCCCCAGCTGGCTCTTTCTGACTCACTGGCATCAGCAGCGAAGGTGGACAAGGAAATCTTCTGTGTGAAGGAAACAGCCAGACTGGAGGGGACTTGGCAGGCGGTAACAAGGGACCCACCGCAGGAAGGAAATAAGTCATGGAGGTGGAGGGAGGGAGCAGGAAGTAGGGAGGGCAGAAGGAGGGAAGGAGGGAGGGCAGAGGAAGGGAGAAAACCTCACTTGGCATTGCAAATTGACAGAAGCTACAGGTAGTAACATAATCCCTCTCTCTCTCTCTCTCTCTCTCTCTCTCTCTCTCTCTCTCTCTGTCTCTTTAAACCCAGGGTCTTCACACTGAGTTACTGAGTTACACCCCCAGCCTTTTTATTTATTTTTATTTTTATTTTTTATTTTGAGGCAGCGTGTTGCTAAGATCCCCAGGTGGAATTCCAACCTGTGATCCTCCTGCCTCAGCCTCCCAGAGTGCTGGTTTTATGGGCATGTACCACCTGGCTTGATCTTTTTTACCTTCTGCTTCCTCATTCCTGAATGGGTGCTTTTCCTACTGCAGGAAGCCCCTAAGAGAAATGGGCTCACATGGAGCCGAGTCATCCCTTTTTGCATCAAGCAGGTGAGGGGGTCCTTTGAGGTCCTCCATGTCCCACCAGGTGCCCTGCTACTGCACAGAACTGCACGGTGCAGGAGTGATTCGGTCTCGACCTTGGTTTCCTGGTCATATTTGGCCTCGGACTGACACAGGAGTTGGTGTCCCTGTGATGCTGATGCGTGTGTGTGTGTGTGTGTGTGTGTGTGTGTGTTTAATTACGGAGCATGTGCAGCAGGGTCTTCATGATTCAGCTTGAGCCTCGTGCCGCATGGTAGCCATGGTAATGTTCGGCCCACTCAGGAGTGTCCTTTCTTAGTAGAAAGTCCAAAGCCCTTCTTTTCATTTATTTTTTCAGTTTTTATTTTTATTAGTCCATGCTTGCAGTACCTGATGTTTACATTCCTTGTGTGGAGTTGGTAATGCACACAACACATCGTCATTTCTTTTTTATCTCCTCCCCTTTCCCCTCCCTCATCTCTGGTCCCCTTCCATTTGAGAAAGATCCGTCACCCGACTTCCTATTATCCATCTTTTCTTTTGCTTTTTATTTATATTTTGGATTTCTCATGTAAGAGAAACCATGCAATATTTAAGCTGTGTGTCTGATTTCTTTCATTTAATATTATGGTATCAAATTGCATCCATTTTCCTACAAATGCCTCAAGTTAATTCTTTATAGCAGAGTAGTACTCCATTGTGTGTAAATACATTTTCTTTATCCATTCATCCATTGATGGACATATAAGCTGCTTCCAAGATTTAGCTATTATTAATTGTGTTGCTATAAACAGTGCGCATGAATCACTGCAATATGATGTTTTTATCTCTTTCAGGAAGATATGTAGAGGGGAATAGCTGGGTCAAATGGTATTTCTAGTTTTAATTTTTTCTTTTTTTAAAAAATTGTTTTGGTACTGGGGATGGAATTTGGGTGCTTGCACTTGCGCAGCAGGCGGCGAAACCACTGAGCTACATCCCCGGCCCCCTCTAGTTTTAATTTTTTGATGAATCTCAACACTGTTTTCCACGGTGGTTACACTAGTTTACATTCCCTCCAACAATGAAGAAGCATTCCTTTCCCCTGCAGTCTCACCAGTATTTGTTATTATTTGAATTATTGGTGATGGCCATTCTTTCTGGAGTGAGATGTACTCTTACTATTGTATTAATTTGCATTTCTCTGATGGCCAGAGATGTTGAATATTTCTTCATGTATTTGTTGGCCATTTGTACTTCTTCTGAACAATGTCTATTCATTTCAGTTGCCATCTTTTGATTGAGTCTTTTATTTTAGGGGGGGTCTAATTTTTCTGAGTTCTTTATATATGCCAGATATTAGTCCTATTTTTGAGGAATAGCTGGAAAAAAATTTACCCATTCTGTAGATTGTTTCTTTCTTCACTCTGTTGGTGTTTCTTTCGCTGTGAGGAGCTTTTTAATTTGATAGGACCCCATTTGTTGATTCTTGATACTATTTCTTAAACCATTGAGATTCTGTTCAGAATGTCTGTATCTGTGTCCTCAAGAGTTTTACCTATTTTATCTCCTGACAGATTATGCATTTGTTTTAACGTTTAGATCTTTGATCCATTTTGATTTTCGTTTAGTGCATGGTGAGATACACGGATCTATGTTGCAGTCTTCTGCTATTTTCCCAGTGCCATTTGTGAAAAAGGCTGTCTTTCCTCCAGAGTATGTTTTTGGCTCTTTTGTCAAAGACCAGAGATCCTTTGCACCTGGCTTTGTTTCTGCATCCTCTCTTCTGTTCCGTTAATCTACATATCTGCTTTCGTGCAAGTGCCATTCTGTTTCCATCACTGGCTTTGTAGTGCAACTGGGATTGCCCTGTCTCCTGCCTTGCTCCTGTCACCTGGGATAGCTTCTGCTATTCTGGGTCTCTTCTGGCTCCCTATGAATTTTAGGATTGTTTTCTAGAGTTCCATGAGAAACGCTGTTGGTATTTTGACTGGGGTTGCATTAAATCTGTCTACCAGTTTTGGAAGCATGAGCACTTTGGAAATTCCAAAGTCTTCTGCTTCTTCCCGCCCCACAGCCTCCCACAAGGCTCCCCCAGTCCCATCCCTCCTCGTCCTGCGTCCTGTTGGGTGAAGACACGGGATTGCCAGGCACAACAGAGTGCATTTGGTCCCTTCCGGCCTCTAAAGAAACCATGAAGTTGAGAAAAGACTTATTCTGGGTTGCTTTGGAAAATATCGCCTGGCCTGGCAGAAGATGGGAGACACGTGTAGGCCTAAGCCAGACTTTATTCATCCCTTCTTCCTTTCAGCAAATATGCCCGGACTACCTACTGTGTGCCAGGCACTGTCCTAGACCCTGGGACAAATATCTCCACACCCGAGGAGCTTTTTACTGTCAGGATGGCCAGGTCATTTCTGAGAGCTCTCAGGAGGGAGACAGCAAGCTTCCGCGGAGGGGGAGTCTTAGTTTGCGGGACGTGGGGTCCAAGTCTGCACGTCGCAGACGTCACCATAAAGAGCCACCTGTCGGCCCTGTGGGAGGAGTCTGGGGGCAGATGCAGTCAGCTCAGGGGGACACTGGCTGGGAACAGATAACGGTTCGACGATCAGGGGAAGGAAAACGGGCCTGACTCACGCTAGGAGTCATCTCTGAGGCAGTTTATTCAGCAGTCCCGCCCTCTGCTTGGGGTCTGCAGGGCGGGTTCGGCCGGGCCACTGAGGCCGCTGCCAGCCTCGCAGCAGTGCGTCTGCGCCGTGAGCCAGTCTGCAGCGCTGGCCAGGAAGTCCTGTCGTTTCAGAACCCGCCGCTGGGGGTCGCTGTTGCCCTTTGGTTTCCTTGCACCCTGGTCCGCGGGCGGCCCTGCTTTAACGAACCTGGTCCTGGGGGACCCAAGCAGGATGTTGCTGCTTCAGATGGCGCTGGGAATCAAAACGCTGCGCTCTGCGCTGTCTGCGACGACCCCTTGATCCGAGACGGACACCATGTGCTAACTGGGGCCTTCAAACCCAGGCAGTCAATAGCCGAGTCCGTGGCTGTTTACCCAAGGTGCTCCTTGTCAGGCGGGCCGGGCTTCTGACAGTCACCCGGGCAAGGGTGGGCTGTGTGTCTTTCATTTAATTTTGTTTGTTTGTTTGTTTTGTCATACTGGGGATTGAACCCAAGGCCTTAGCACTGAGCTACATCCCCAGCCCCCTTGTTATTTTGAGGCCCAGGCTGGGTTCAAATCGCAATCCTCCTGCCTCAGCCTCCTAGTGTTGGGATCACCGTGCCTGGCAGGCGGTGCTGCTAGAGGAGTTGGCTGCATGTCTTGACTCCTTGCATCCGAGCTTGCGGGATCTCTGTGGGCTCTGGAGAAGCAACTGGGAGGACGCAGAGCTGTGAGGCTGCCAGGCTGGCGGGGTGAACACCTGGAGGTCAGAGGCGCTGGAGGAAACGAGGTCCAAACCCCAGACAGACTCCAATGGCGCCTTCAGGTAGAGAATGCAAGGCAAGCCACTTCCCTTGGTGACACTCGGCCACTGGCCTCCTGCCTCACACGGGCACCTGTGGGTTCCCTCTGTGGGCTCCGCTGGGCTTCTCCACATGGCCGTGCCCAGCCTGTGCTCACCTCAGTTCAGATCCGTCTGCTGTCTGCCTTCCCACAGGAAGGGATCGGCATTGGGACTGGCATTGGATGTCCGAGTGTTTTTGTGTCTTGGGACCTGGCTGCAGAAGTTGGAGTCTCCTGGACTCTCAGTAAATATATTTCAAATGGATGGACAAATGGAGGGTCAGAGAGACACCTGGATTCCCCCACATCCAGTCTACGGATTGCTAGAGAGGGTCAGATAGAGACACAGATAACCCTTGCTCCTTGTGTGCAAAATGTTTAAAGGTTTCAGTAAGCAAGATGTTTCACTCCCATGTACCAAAAGAATTTCATAAGAAACACACCAATCTGTGAAGACAAGGTACGTTTAACAGCCCCTAGAGTTGTGCAGTACACGCTCTGCAGCGCTGGACACGGTGACCTGGGGATTTCTAATTTGCTTTCACAGATCGCAATTCGGTAGGTTCATCTTGAAAGAGCAGAAGAGGTGTGTAGTCCTTTTTCTTGACTTTTCCAGCAGCACAGAAACAAAGGAAGGGCTGTAATCCAGCCTGCAACCCAGTGCCCTGGAAGAGCACGGGGTTGTGGGACAACACTGGCTCACAAAGGACCTAGCAAGAAATGAGTGGACTCTAAAAATCCGATGTGTCTATGCTGCTGCTGACACCCTCCCTCTGCCCTTCCGCCCTGCAGTGGTACATGAACGGGGTGAATTACTTCACGGACCTGTGGAACGTTATGGACACACTAGGACTCTTTTATTTCATCGCGGGGATTGTGTTTCGGTAAGTAGTTCTCATTGGTTTCCCCAGCCTTGGGCATTTCGGTCACAAAAGTGAAGAAATGCCTTTGGACATGTGAATCCCCAGGAAGTCTGTTGGTTTGTTTCTCTTTAGAGACGTTAGGAACGGATTTCTTAGAGAGACAGCTTGGTGGCATCCAGCTGGGTCTCCGGTCTTCCCTCCCTGATGTCTGTAATGAAAAGGGGTTCTTCATGATTTTTCTCTCTGTTCTTACGGGTTTGGAGGAGACGATGACAAGGATGTTGTATATGTCATAGTATCGGCTTGTTGAGGGCCGTATAACCCTCTAAGATGCTCTTGATTTTGACTTGAAGGCTAGGTGGGGAACCTGCCTTTCTGTGACCACCGTATTTCCTCAGTTTCCGAGCCCGAGTGCAGGATTAGATAAGCAAATCCAAAGGCAACATCCAAGGCAAAACACAAGGTGCACCCCTGTGAGGGAGAGGTTGGCATACACCCAAGCCTTGGCTTACAATGCCCATGCCCACAATGGAGCTCTAACCTTTTTCCAGGGCTGGAGATTGAAGCCAGGGACTCACATATGTGAGACCAGGGCTCTACCACTGAGCCACAGCAGTTACATTCCGCACAGCTTCGAGATAGGATCAGCAGCAACATTTGAGCAATCATGTCGTCTGCAGCGAACTATTCCTATTTACATGTGCAAAAGCCAGGCCTCAACCTCCCAGTCGAAGGCACTCAGAGCTGTTTTCCCCCAGTGACCTTCCTCACTGTTTGGGTTAAGAGGCCCGGCATTTGCATCCCAGTTGATTGGAGGTAGTTGATTTCTAGCTCATTGCAGAGAGCACGTGGGGCTTTCAGTGGATGCAGTAGCAGGTGTTAGCTCATTGTGTGATCTGGCGAGAAGAAGCTGAGATTTTTAGGGGAAAGCTGCAAGGTCAGGGCTGCTGGGCTTGGTGCTGGTTGGGGTTGGCGTCATTGTCAATGCTCGTGAGCTGGGAAGCAGGTGAGACTGCAGTTGGTTCCCTCGGGAGCGCGAGGACCAGGGCCCGGGAAGAGGGCACTGGGGAGCCCGGCTCTGCGCTGTGTCCTCCCTTTCTTCCGTCTCCTCACCAGCCTGTGAAGCCAGGATGGTGGCCCACGAGCCATGCCTCTGGCTCCTTCCCACTCACTCAGCCTCCCCGAGCTTGGTCACGCTCAGAATTCAGGTACTTCCCCAAACTAAACTTGGAAATGTTTTGGTCAGCATCTCACAAACTCTCTTCCTCTTCCTATAGGCTCCACTCTTCTAACAAAAGCTCTCTGTATTGTGGACGGGTCATTTTCTGCCTTGATTACATCATATTCACTCTGAGGCTGATCCACATTTTCACTGTAAGCAGAAATTTAGGACCCAAGATTATCATGTTGCAGAGGATGGTAAGAGTCAAGTGCATCGTTAGCATCATTTCCCTCTCTGGTTGGGGTCCCACTAATGGGGGAGGGAAGATGCTGACCCGGGAGTGGATACTGCATTCCCGCGAAGTCACAGCAGGGAAGGTTGCCTTCCAATCCGTGAGCTACACTGCCAGGCCAGGTGGCTGTGAGGAGCCCATGGTGTCACGTCACACTTCCCACAGCCATCCCGTGCACTGCAGATGCGCCTCCATCCAGTTTGAACAGGCACAGGCAGGGCAGGGAGGGCCTTTGTACCGTTTGCACAGAGGTGGACAGCAGAACCAAGCAGGTTGGCAGCTTAGTCTAAAGACGGGGAGTGAGTCAGATGCGTGGTGATGACAGGCCCTAAATCAGACGCAATGTGGCATCCAGGGACCACAACCTTGCTCTGTATTGATATCTATCTATACGTTATTGGAGATTGAACTCAGGGCCTTTGCACTGCACTATATCCCCAGCCCTTTGTTATTTTTTATTTGGAGACAGGGTCTTGCTAAGTTCCCCAGGCTGGGCTCAAACTTACGATTCTCCTGCCTCAGCCTCCCAGAGTGCTGGGATTCCAGGCCTGCACCACCATGCCGGAGACTGGCCTTGCTTTCTACCCACAGCAGGAAGGAGTTGCGCACTTGTGTTGCTGCTTCCCTTGGCCAGTTCCCAGCCAAGCTCTCTCCACGTTTGCATGACTCATCTGTGAGCTTCTTTCCAGGGCTGAGGCTGGGTCTGTGGTTTTAACTCAAAGCATAACTGAGACACACTGTCACCATGAAGTCATGCTGCGTGTGCTTAGCACTCTGGAAAAACCAAGCTGTCTGTTCTTGTCTAATAAGGACCGCTTTTATTTTCCTTCTTTAAAAAGCCTACAGAAATAGTTTAGGGGCTCCAAAGAATGCCAGGATCATGAGGTGGAGAGAGAAAGAGGTCTGCTTTCCTTTCTGAGCAGAAATCGTCAGCTGGGCTGGATCTGGCCCATACATGGTCCAAGGCTGAGGGCGATGATCTTTTCAATTAGTGAACAAGCACTGGGTGCCAGAGACTTTCAGGGCCCCGGGGCTTGGACCTTTCTCCAGGGTCAGCCACATGACCTTACCACCCGGGGCCCTGCCCTGACCCTGGCCTGGTGTCCCCCTTGGCAGCTGATCGACGTGTTCTTCTTCCTGTTCCTCTTCGCGGTGTGGATGGTGGCCTTCGGGGTGGCCAGGCAGGGGATCCTGAGGCAGAATGAGCAGCGCTGGAGGTGGATCTTCCGCTCGGTCATCTATGAGCCCTACCTGGCCATGTTTGGCCAGGTGCCCAGCGACGTGGATGGTAAGTCTGACAGTGGGGGGACAGTGGCCTTGGGAGGAGGCGGCTGTCCTCATCCAGCCCCCAGCTGACCTTGGACCACAGCTTCAGTTGCACTCAGCCGCTGAGTCAGCGATTGGAAAGTTGTCCCTCAAAACCTCTCCTTCCTTCCCAAACAAGCTCTTATTTTGTATGCGATATTTCAATTTTTAAACCCTTAAAAAAATACTATTTCTCATACTTTTGACAGCAACAGAAGCACTAGAAGCAACAGACCTCACCAGTTTGGGAAAGAGGGCCTCCCCTTTGTATCACCCAGTTAGCTCAAAAAGAGCAGTTTGAAAGACTGAAGTCAGAACCTGGAATTTAAACTTCTGGCATCGACTCTGCCAGCTTGAGTCTTGGGGCAGCCAGAGGTGACACGGGTGGCTTTGACTGTCCCACACCTGTTCCCAGGGGGAAAGTGCGGGCACACCCAAGCTCGTACATGCTTTGAAGGAGAGCAGGCATGTGGTCCTGACAGTGCTGGACCTTGGCATTGCAGTCCTGCCTCCCTCGGTGGTCCTGGTGTCCCCGAGCCAGGGCCTGCCCCAAGTGGTGGCATTCTCAGTTCTCTGGTGTTCTCCCTCCATGCCGGAGCCTCTTTCTGGATCTCAGAAACAGTTGCTCCTCCTCCGTGCAGCACCGGAGAGGCGACTTCTCACTGTCATTCCCGGTCTGGACACTGTACCTGCCACTTTCCATAGTGGACGTGTTTTGTTCCCAGACAGCCAGCCCCCACCCGGTGGCTTTGGTGCCGCGTGGGAGCAGTGATAGCATCTAACGAGCAAGTGACCACAGGGCTGCGGCCCCGGTTGGCCACCAGGTGCTGTGTGGCCCTGGGAAGACTCCGCTCTCTGCCTCTCTGCTCTGTTATGGGTCGACCTAGGGGCTCGGGCCTCGCGCTCGGGCTCGGTCTCATCTCAGGCCACCCAGATGAACTCTCCGTGGGTCCCCCTCCCAGACTGGCCTTCCTCCAGAATGCGCCCCCGATGTGACGTCCTCCTTGACACCTCCCACCGGTCCCCTGGCTCCAACTCCGAGGTTTTGTCGATTCTGTCTCCTACTGCTTTTGAAATCTGACTGCTTCCTCCCAGCCCCACGCTGTTCCCCTTGCCTGCCTGTCTTCTGCTCATGTCTACTAACAAACTCCTCACCTCCCTCCCTGGTGCCATTGGATCCAAAATGCAGGCAGAATGGTCCCTTCGTACAGAGAAGCCGATGTGTTGTTCTTCCCCTTAAAAGTCGCGTGGCTTCCAATTGCCTTTAGTGGAAAAACTGAAAAGTCACATATCTGGTCCTTGGACATATTCCCTTATGGAGTGGTCGATGTTTTCACTGTCACCTCCATGGCCATAGGGCCTTGGGATGTGCTGCTGGTTGCCTGTGTTAGGGTGTTCCAGGCAGCTGCTCCTCACCACTCGCTCAGGCTGGTGCCTGCTCATCCTTCCACTCACAGCTCAGCACTCCTTCCTTTTGGGGGAGCTGTTTCTGGGTGATCTGTCTCAGTGCAGAAGGTCACGCACAGACCCAAGGGTGCTCCGAGCTCCCGAGGGCACAGGACACGCCTGCTTTACCCCTCCTTGGGCCTTGAGCTTAGTGAAGTTCTTGGTTCATAGCAGCTGCTCAGTGAAAGGCAAGGGGCCGAGTGAACCTAGGAATTGCTCTTGTTTGGGTCCAGCTTGGTGTCCCCTGGGACCCAGTGGGCCTCCCCACACCGGCAGGGCCTCACTCGGGTTCTGGGTTCTGCCCCTCAGGTACCACATACGACTTTGCCCACTGCACCTTCACGGGCAACGAGTCGAAGCCGCTGTGCGTGGAGCTTGATGAGCACAACCTGCCGCGCTTCCCCGAGTGGGTGACCATCCCGCTGGTGTGCATCTACATGCTGTCCACCAACATCCTGCTGGTCAACCTGCTGGTCGCCATGTTCGGGTGCGTGCCAGGTTGGGGGCGGGGGGGCGGGAAGAGGGGACCAAAAGGGGCTGGAAGGTGATGAGCACCTCCGCCATGCTCTGTAAGTCCACACTGTGTCCCCGGCACCACGTGGCAGTGTCCTCGAGCTCTACGACTTTGGCATCATGGGTGGTGACAGCAGCAGCTCATCTCCGAGGGGTCTTGTCTTTCCTGGGACCCTGTGGTCTGGACTCCAGGGCTTCAAAGGTTTAGTTAGTTGCTGTTTTAAATATTTTATTGTAAATGAGAATACAAAGAGCAGAACCAAGAGAACAACTCTTTTGGGGCTCGTGGCTAGTGAGGTTGATGGAGAAGATGTGATGATTTTAACTATTTTTGTTGGGCTCCGCAGTTTTCCTTAGTGGACTCAGAAAGTGATGTTTTTCATTTCTACTTCCTTTTTCTTAGGAGGGTTCCGAAGAGTTCTACGTGGTAGTTTCCATGGGAGACCTTTTTTTATACTGTCCTGTTAGGGTAGATAGTTATTTTAAGTACACAAATTCTGGCACAAACCACTTACAAAATATATGTATATTTAAGAAATTATTTAGTGCAGCTTAATGTGGAAGAGGACTTGTTTGTCAAAACCAGAAAATCAGAAACTATGAAAGACAAGGTAAACATTTTTGGTTTTATAAAACGGTTTTTTAAGGGAAAAGACACTGAAAATAAAGTAGTAAAAGCTGGATGTGGATGCAGGCCTGTAATCCCAGGACTCTGGGAGGCTGAGGCAGAAGGATCACAGGTTCTCGTTTGCCTAGGCAGTTTTGTAATTTAGCAAGACCACCTCAGTGAGAGAGAGAGAGAGAGGGAGAGAGAGAGGGGCCCAGAGAAAATACAATAGAGGAAATTTAAAAATTCAGAGAAGGGGAACTCAGGCGTTCCATAGGTAGATGAAAGGAACTCAGCCTTGTAGGTCGCGGAGTTGGGAGGAAAGTGTGGAGGTAACTGCTGGTTCTGAACTCAGCAGATGACGCTCGGGGAGTCCCCGGCGCTGGGGGGCAGCCGAGGACACGGGATTACGCATGGGCATGAGCTGCTGCTGACTCTGGAAAGTAACTTGAGAATAGCTGTTAAAAGGAAAAACACATCATCTTTTGGTCCAGCTGTGTCACTGTTGAGAATCTATCCTACAGATTTATGTACCAAGGTGCTTACTGGATCGCTGGTGCCTGTACCTCGAGTAATGATTGAAGAAAGTGCGTCACATCCATGTGGTGGGATATTGCACAGATTCTAAAAAGACAAAGTCAGACCTGTATTTATGGGAAGGATGATATATTTTTATATAAAAACAAACTATAGACTAATTTTATAGTATAATCTTCTTTCCTAAGAGCGAAAGGTGATGACTTAAAAAATCAAGTATATATTGCTGTTGTTACAATGAGGACATTTATCTTTGCCATTAAGAAAAGAGAATGAGGAAAAGGCCATTGTCATGTGGAGCCCCAGAACTGCAGATGAAGACTACAGGCGAAGGGCACTTGCTTTGTTGTCCAGGGGCTTCCCTTTGGGTAGGACCAGGTGGGGACATGCACCTCCGGGGACATCGCATGCTGTCCAGAGGCCACCCCCTCTGGTCCACCCCCTCCTCTGGTCACACTGATGATCTGAAACTGCTCCATTTAAAAGCCAGGGAGGATTTCCTCTTCCCTTGTAGGATGCAGGTGAATTTTGCATCCTCACCTGGCTCCTAAATGCATCCCCATGACCGTCTTGCTGCTTGTCGTCCCGCGTTTGCTTCCCTGGACATGGTGATCTGTGGCCCCTGATGCTGTCACGCGTGCTGGTCCTCCTGTCCCCAGTGCCAGCTCCCTCCCCTTCTCCGACACTGCATCCCTGAAGCCCTCCTCGCTTTGCAGAGAGGCCGCCAAAGCAGTGTCCTCTCAACTGTAGCAGCCCTTTCTCCTTCTGGTCGGTGAACCCTGAGGTTGCAGACTGGGGCGTACATACCCTCAGCACCCAGCTCTGTGGCTTCGGTTGGAGGAGAGAGAACAGGGTGCTTTTCCATGGCCGCTTCATTATTCAGCTTCCTGGGACACTTTAGCTCAGGTGCACCAGCGGCGGCGGACAGCAGAGCAGCAAGAGAGAAATCACAGAAGGCACAGCACCTGCCTGTGCCAGGTGCCTGGGGCATGGAGGGCCTGTGCCCCTCAGGACACATCCTGTGGGTGTGAAGAGAGGGTTGTCACACTGTCCCTCTCCACCCGCAGCTGGTGGCCAGCAGGGACTCAGGAGCCCAGAGCTTCTCCCTCAGACAGCCAGATGGTGCCAGGGGGTCCAATGTCAGAGCAGCCCAAAGCCTTAGAGGACAGAGAGAAGGTGACAGTGACTAGCCAGGATGAACAGAGACAGGCTGGTTTGAGGTCTTGTTTTTTTTTTTCATTGACTTATTTAAAAAAATTTTTTAATACAAATAGATATTAATAAAGAAAATATAAAAACAGTTCTACAGAAAAATAATTTTTCATAACAAAAACAATTAGAGAATAACAATGGTAATTACACTGTGTATCATGATCTTAAAAGAATATATTTTCAATTGCTAATCTATCTCATTTCCTAATAAGACTATGCTTTTTGGCATAAAACATTTTGATTATTAACAAAGTGTCTCACGCTGATATAAAGAATCCATGGAACAGATTCAGACATCCGAGAGTTCTTGTTTTATAGTGGCAACATTTCCCATCAGCCTTAACACCGGGGGCTGCTGATGAAAACCCAACCACTCAGTACATCCACAGAAATGAGACACGAAGGCTAACAGCTCCCAGTGCCATGGCTCTGAAGTGGTACTCACTCAGGAAATCTCAGAAAGAGAGCTGTTTAGGAGAATCATGTCACTTTTGTCATCTGTGATCGGCACTATGATCATGAAATGGTAGAATTAATTTGGAGCTGGGAGGGATGGGAGGCCAAACTGGTGCTTTCCAGCTATGGAGATGGAGGTCTGTCCACCAGCATCTCTGACCCTGGCGTAACTCTGGTCTCTGCTGTTGAGGTTCTGGACCACTGTGCCCCACCCCACTGTCGCCCACAGCTTGGGGACACCCATTCCTTGGGGGTGCTGTGTCCTACAGACATATTCACCTGTGCGGTTCCGACAAAGACTCACCCACCATGTCATCTAGAACCATTTTTAAGTCTTAGAAGAACCATTTTTAAGTCTTGGGCACACTCTATCTATTTGTAGAAAAGTAGAAAGAAGAAAATAATCACCCATTACAAAGGTTTGGTGCTACTTAGGGAGAGGCTATCGAAATAGGCAGAAAAGAATGAAAAGAAACGAGCAGTCTGTTGTAATGACAAGAGCTAATATTTATTGAAGCATTTCGTGCTGGGCATGGGTCCAAGTGCTTTGTGTGTGCTGACTCATTTAATTGTTAATTATGTTTGTGTGGCTGCAGCCGCATTATGCTTTTACAAATGAGGAGTCGGAGGCAGAGTATGGAAGAGATGACACATGAACGTATTAATAGAATGGAATAGAATACAATCAGCGAGCACAGCTAGTCACAGAGGAGGGAGTTTGTCCTTGTGACGGCCTCCTGGCAGCAGAGCTGGGATCAGCAGCAGCAGCCAAGTAGAGGCGACATATCCCCAGAGGACTGTCCCTGGTGCTCGGAGGTCCCTGCCCCTGGTATCCAGACTGCTGGTGGAGGAGGGGAGGCGGGGCAGATGAATTGGTTGGGAGGGGTGTGGAAGGCCGGCAGGGGCTGGGGACAGGACTCTTCTGTGGTGTAGTAAAGGACTTGGTCAGCCTCTGAGGGTGTGGGGACACTCTGTGGGCCTCACACAGCATATGGCACAGCGCGGGCTGTATCACTCCAATCGCGATGCTGTACACGAAACTGAATCCTCATTTCAAAATCAGTGAAACGTCCTTGCTGCTTGTCTATCCCTGTTGGCCGCTGTTGGCTTTGTGGCTGCTATACCCTCATATCTTAATGGTTACATTTATTTCTTTTTGCTTTTTCAGTGACTCCTTACCCAGCTTATTTTGAAACCACTCAGTCTTTCCAATCCCTCTTCTAAGGGCACTTCATTTCAAAAATAGTGAAAATAGCACATCACTACCATCTTCGCAGACTGCCGTTCGGTTGTCTCTAAAGTTTTTAAAAAAGAATGTCTTATTCTTTCAAAAAAAACCACTGGCCTGTAATGTTTGTGGAGGTTTATGGGGTGCAGTGTGACATTCCAGGACATGTAGTCAACATGTAGTGATCCGATCAGGGTAATGAGCATTTCCATCCCATTCCCGGGACATTCGCCATTTCTCTGTGTTAGGAAACATGAACTCCTCTCTCCTGGTTCATTGGAGACCTGTTGATGTTCCAGCACAAGGGGGAGCCGGGATGTGACAAGCATGTTAACATACGTACGGGCAGGGAGGGCACAAAAGTCTCAGCCATCCAGTCATGAGGCAGTACTGGCTGGGCATTTCTGGTGTGTCCTGGAAGGGGTGACCGTTGGGCAGTGTGTGAAGTCTGTGGGAAGCTGTCACAAGGTGTCCACCCGAGGGAGACGTAACTGACAACTGACCTGCATTTCCATGTATTTTAAAGTTCTGCCGTGGTCTCAGTGCCGACTTTTTCTTTGTGAATTTTCTTGCAGACGTTTCATTCTGGCTTGATCAGTCTTGCTATTTTGGGTTTTACTACCAAATGGCTTTCATTACTGGAAGTTTTTATCCCTTCAACATCTGTTGTACAAGTTTTCCTCATTATCTTTATTCAAAACTTTCCCGGCTTTTCTTGTATATTTATTTGTATGGAGAAACATGAAGCTCATCTTGTGAATCTTCTTTCTCCTTCCAGAAAAAAGAAACAGTGAATTTTATTGTCACAATGTGAACTTTATAGAATTATTTAGAAGTTTGTCTTTTACTATTTAGAAAAAGTGGTCTGAATTTCATTTTTTCCAATATATATGGTTCCTGGTAAAATTTTATGTTTGTTTTCATATGAGTCTGGGAGATATTTTGTTAATTTATTTTCAACCATTTATGATTGTGAGTGAAATATTGTTCTATTTTTTAATGACTATGTTTTGCTATGTACAAAGGCTGTTAAAGTTTTGCTTATTTATTTTGGAACAAAACTCCTTCCTGAATTGTTTCTCTTTTTTTTCTTTTCTTTTTATCATATCGTGGAAGTTTCCTCCTATTCCTTATTATTAAGCTCTTTTCTTCTTTGCTCTTTTTCTCTTTCTTAATCAGACAGGGATGTTGAATGGGGCCAGAAGACTTTCTGGCAACTATTGAAATCATATTTTCCTTTTGATCTAGGATTACGATGTATTATACAAATGATGAATTATATAAATATTCTTAATATTTAGTCATTCTAATCCATGGTAATAGCATATGATGCTTTTATATATTTCTGGATTTTATTTATGCCAAGATTATCTGAATTCTAAATGTCTGCTGTTTGTTAGTGACATTTCCAGTCTCGGTGAATTTCTTTTTCTTTTTTCTTTCCTCTTCTCTTTCTTTTTTTCTTTCCCTGAAGATTGAACCTAGGGGTTTTGCACTAAGCTATCTCCTCAGTTTTGTTAATTTTATTTTTTATTTTGAGACATGGTATTGCCTAGTTGCTAAGGTGGGACTTGAACTGGGATCCTCCTGACTCACCCCCAGAGGGCTGGGATCACAGGCACGGGGCACCATGTCCGGCTCAGTCCCAGTAAGTTTCTGAGATCTGGCGCCTCCATGGGGGCTTCTGCTTCCTCCTTCTCTCCTGCTCAGGTGGCTCCAGGAGGAGGCTGCAGCTGTCATTGTGCCTCTCCAGCCAGCTGAGGAGTTGCCAGGAACAGGGCTGTAGGGGACAAGATTCCCCTGAAGATGTAGCATTGAAGGGAAAATTTCAGACTTCTTTCCAATGGGAAGATACAGATGGACTGTGATTGGTAGTGAGACTTCACAGTCAAAGACACATTGCCATGAAGCCCCTCAAAATCCTGCCCCTCTCTTGACATACTATCCCATAATTCTTGCCACTTTCTGAAGCAGTTCCGGAAGTCCTCTTTCATGAGTGCCTTTCGTTGCACTATTGTGGCTGTCTTGATGTCCTGAATCAATTCAAAACGTTGACCTTTCATGGTCATTTTACTTTGGGGAAGAGCCAGAAGTTACATGGTGCCAGATCTGGTGAGTAAGGTGGTTGAAGACATAGTGCAATCCTTTTATTTAACAGAACTTGCTGAGAACTAAAATGCTTCATAGAGTGGCAAGAATGATGGGCTGAGTGTTTTGAAGCAACGGGGAGTAATTTTTTAAAATCTAAGCATTCACGGATCGCATCTTGGGTGCAGAGCAGTTCTAGCTGGTGATGCTGGTGTTCAGTAGCTCAGCTGTGCCCTGTGTGAGGTGGATCCAGGTTTTCACCACTTATTTGTAAAAAGAATGCTGCTCCCAGGGTCCGTCTTTGCCCCTGAAGTGCAGAGGACGCTGCCCTTCCAACAGAGTCGTTCTTGAGGACCCCGGGTTGTCCTGGGGAGCAAATGAAACAATGACATTTGAAGCAGAGCTCTTGAAAATGGAGATGGACACAGGGCAAAGTCGTATTTCCCAGGCCCTGGCTCCAGTACCTCTGAGGTGGAGAAATGCAGAGCCACTCTGTGAGAGGCAGCTGGGCTCTTAGCTTTGGCTGGATGAGTCGAGAAAGAAGCAGTGCACAGTGACCTTGCGCCCGTCTGGACCTCTCTGTTTTTCTAAGCCATGCTTAGCTTCAGAGCTTTGAAAAAACAGTGAGAGGTTGGATTTGGGCCCAGATTGGAGTTTGCCAATCTCTGCTGTAGATGGTCTGGAAAATGCAAAATGCCCCAGTTAAGCCCAGGCGCATTCTCTTCCTACATGGGCCCTTCTGGCCTTTGCTCTACTCTGAGCTCCCGAGGAGGGGGAGGCCATCCGCCAGGAAGGGCTCCTTCTCCTGCTGTAAGCATTGTAAGGACTAAGAATTTCCTTTGGATAAAACCTCTGAAAACAACACTGGTTGCAATGGAGTAGATGCTGTTGTTTTTTGTGGAGTGCTGAGTTGGGGCCAGTGGCTACAGTCCACTTGGGACAGAAGGTGCATCCAATCCGAACATGCTTTGAGGGATGGTGACTAGGGCAGTGATAGCTGCTCTGGCACAAAGCAGCAAAGTGTGATTTCTGGCAAGCTCTTGCCCTGAGAGTCAGGAATCTGGGTTGTGCCCACTGATCCATCTCTGTAGCCACCAGCACCAGCTGGGGACTGGACCGGGGGATAAAGAAGCTTGATATTACTTCCAAGCAACCTGACCTACATTTGGAAGAAGCACCAGGCTCACTGTTGGATTCAATTTGCTGCACTGTAATGCAGCACTGTTCTGTGAGCTTCTCACCTAAAAAGTCTACATGCAAGGCTGATGTGAGGACCAATCCAACACAGCACATGTTCAGTAAACGGGAATTCCTTTTCTTCAAAGGCCCCACCCTATTTAAGAGCTCTAGTTACAAATTGGAGAATGCTTGGTAGTTATCAAAAATGTGAAGTCAAGCAAACCCTTTTGAACTGGAACAGAGGTGTTAAAACATTTCACGTTCCCCTCTGCTGAGCTGGTGTAGACATTGGGTTGAATTGTAGGGCTCAAATGTTGCCTTAATGCTTCCCTAGTTGAGGGACTCCGAGCATTTAGTTACCATTGCTGCCCCTCAACTTCTGATCTGTTAGTTGTAGATAATGATAGGACTTATAGAGTTATTTAATGAGTAAATCAATTAACATAGGTGGACTGTTTAGAATAGTATTGGATACATAGTGTTACCTATTTTGCAGTTTGTTTTAAATTGTAACTGGGAACTCATGGCTATAATTGGTTAGGGGATAGAACAGAAGAAGTATTTCTCTAATGACAGAAGTAATTCATAGACTTTGTGTAATGCGTGCATAAAACTTAATCATGACCTTCCTATTCCTTACTTCCCTCTTCCCTCTAACCCCTCCTCCATTTGCAAGAATTTATCTTCTAGCTTCCTATCATTTCTCTATTTGTTTGTTTGTTTGTTTATATGGTAGGTTTGTCATGTAAGAGAAACCATGTGATATTTAACTTTCTGTGTCTGACTTACTTTGCCTAGCACAATGGTCTCAAGTTTATCCATTTTCCTGCACATCACATGATCTCATTCTTCTTTATGGCTGAATGATATTCCATTGCCTATGTACACATTTTCTTTATTCATCAACTGCTGATGGGCATTGTGGCTGTTCCCAGAGTGTAGCTGTTGTGGATTATGCTGTGATAAACATGGGTATGCATGTATCACTACAGTATGTCTTCGGTTGTTTCAGGAATATACCCAGGAGAGGTACAGGTGAGTCGAATGGCATTTTTCTCCTTCAGTTTTTGAGGAATCTCCGTACTGATTTCCACAGCGGCTGTACTAGTCTGCATTCCCACCAACAGTGTAGGGAGGCCCCTTTCTCCCAGCCCCTCTCCCACAATCATTGCTTTTAAGTGTAATTTTTAATGGCTGCATGGTGAAATCATATTGACTAAGCACAGCCTGTGATATATCTTTTTAGGGTTGGACCTTTAGGCTGTTTTCTTGTTTTGGGATAGGTACGTAGGCTGCTGGCTAACAGCCATGTGTCTGTATTCACTTACATTTTTTTCCCAGTATTTCCCTATTCTTAGGCTAAATTCCCCAAATTGAAGTCACTAGCCAAAGGGATGAACATTTTTAAGGCTACTGATAAATACTAACAAACTGTTTCTCCTGTTTACAATTAAACATATTTGAGGAAGCACATTATTCCTAAGAGAGTCGATATTCTGGGCCTCTTTGTAACTCATATAGTAACAAACAAATGAAAAAAGAGAATCCTTGAAGATTTCAAAATAAAAGTAACTTTCGAGTTCACTGAACATTTTCTGTGATTAGAAACACAATAAAAGAGAACAAGAGCCAGGGACACTTTGGGGCCAGCGTGACTTGCAGGCGGCCTGGTGCCCAGTCCTTCTGGCTCTGGCATAGGTATGGGCTGTCCTCTTCTCTCTGGATTTGAGCTGGTACCGGGAGAGCTCAATAGCAGCATGGCTGGTGGCTGCGTGCAGATCTCTAAGCCTTGGCTTCTCCTTTCTCCTGCCAGCTACACGGTGGGCACCGTCCAGGAGAACAATGACCAGGTCTGGAAGTTCCAGAGGTACTTCTTGGTGCAGGAGTACTGCAGCCGCCTCAACATCCCCTTTCCCTTCGTGGTCTTCGCTTACTTCTACATGGTGGTGAAGAAGTTCTTCAAATGTTGCTGCAAGGAGAAAAACACAGAATCTTCTGCCTGCTGTGAGTGATCTCCCCCTCTGGGGCTGGGTTCAGAAGCGGTGACTGATTACTGATTTCCGGGAAGGATGTGTGGTCCTTATTGCAACAGGAAAGAATTACTAACAGTCTGTCCACTGCTACATCTGCACATCTCTGAAGATCTGGGGTCAGGCCAGAAAGAGTAGACCAGGAAAACAAGGAAAGATAAAGAGCTGCGGGATAGGCTTATTTTGGGAGAAAAACTTTCACAAACATAATAATGACATAAATTGTTGGATAAACTCACAGAATTCATGTGATAGTGTCAAATCATGACTTCAGATGTTTGATATGGCAAGGTGCCGTATTTTGAGGTAGCGCATCCTAGGCCATATTATCACTTTTATCCTAGGCAGCCACTGAGAACCAGTGAAAGGTCTCATTGAATGTCTAAGTAGGAGGATAAAATTAGAAAGGAAAATTACTGAGTTTCCTAGAAATTCCAGAAACAAGGGCCTACCAACCTCATTTCACATAGTCCTCTTTGGGAAGTGTTTTTTAATGACCACTCCACACACATACACACATTTCCTGTAGATGTGAATTTAAAGACAGTGTAATTGCAAGGATGGACAGAAATTGTGGACAGGAAAGTAAGCAAACCTGAAAAGGAAGCCACGCCCTCCATGAGTGATAAGAGTGAATATTATAGAACCAGTTGTACTGCTGGAGGCACATGTCCCCTTGCAGTCCCCATACAAATACTTTCAGCTCTGGGGACACAGTCATGGAGAAGGTGCAAGCCTGGGCTCCTGAGCTGTGGTTTGTCTGGTGGGAGCCAGAGCTGAGATGGAACAGGGAGCACCTGGGAAGCTTGTGACACAGGGAGGAAGGGGTCCTGGGGAGCACTGGCTGAGGTAACAGATGCCTGTCACATGTCTGCCATGTAGCAGGCAGGGATTGTGGATGCAACGCTGAGTGGAACAGAAGCCACCTGTGCCCTCAGCTAGGCGCCTTTGACTGAGGGATGAAGAGGAAAACTAAAAAGCCTTAGTTGAAAAGCGTTGGAATTGCAGTTTTAGAGAATATACAAGGTGCTGGGGTAACTGCTGGGAGGACAGAAACTCTAGGAGTGGAGCAAGGGAGACCTTCTAGAAGGACTCAGAGGACGAATTGGCATTGGCCAGACAGAGCGGCTGGGGCCAGGACTCGGGGTGTGTGTGGGGTGTCAGCTGTGAGGAGTGGTTAGAGGGAGGAGGGAGAGGAGAGAGGAGTCAGGGCGCAGAGAGACTGGAAGAAGACCTGGGTGGGTGTGTCCCCCAGCCAGAGCCACTCAGGCCCCAGCCCCGCCCAGCCCACCATGCCTCACGTGGTTCTGAATCCCCCAGGAAAGAAAATGTAGACAAGAGACCCAGCAGTGGAACTAACGTGACAAGAGTCATGAAACATGCATCCCAGTGCCCCTTGGATGACTGAGCTCACTCCTTCAATATGAAGGGGGTAAAGGAACTCCCAAGGCCAGTGTGGAAGGGTCCTTAGATTGCTTGGTAAAACTGCCCCTCAAATCTTGATGCTCTTTCTTGTGACTTGGAAGAGAGCAGTCATTGTAGGGTGCTGGGGAGGCAAGAATTTTAAGATGATTCCCCCCACTGGAGCGCTACTGAGAAAAAGAAAAGTCCTTGTTAAATGGAAAGGAATGGGAATTGGACATGGGAAATCTAAGGGAGAATCCAGTACAGATGACTAAGGGAATATGCTTAGGTTGTTCTGTTTTCCACATTCAGTTCTGCCAGGATAAGCTAGTTTCTCTTCTTAGTCCATGCCTTTTCCTGCTGTCCTCAGGGCTTTGTGTCTTCCAGTGGCCTCTGGGTGTGGTGGTGTTTTCTGGTCCTTCTCCTCATGTATCTGATAGGATGACCACCCTGGTCATGTTCCATATTGGGCCAATCATTCTTCCTACCTCTTTCCTAGAATCCCAAGTATTTTGATGATTGAGAAAAATGAAAATATCAGTCTTAGTAACTTAGAAATGGTAATTGGTGGCAATTTAAAAAAAAAACCAACTCGTCAAAAACCATCATTCTTTGTGAGGTTCTTTATATAGAAATGGAGGCAGGATGCCCATAAGTTAGACCTTAAATATTGGTCTTAACCTACTTCTGTCCCCTCCCTAAAATTCTAAGCTCCTACCAACTGGCTTTCACAATGTACATGTGCCTACGACTCCTGGCTCTTGTCACAGTTTAAACAGTCTTCACAGTCAACTCTTCTGACATGTCACTTTGGGGATGTCAGTAGCAATCACACATGTAATTGCCTCTCTTGAAGAAAGTGTTTTGATGATCAGGACAGGTTGCTGTCTTACTCTCCATCATTCTGCTTTGGAAGACAAAATGAGCCATTTCTATCTAAAGGAATCAAAAAAAATCTTTATACCAGGGATGAAGATTGGAAGTTCAGATGTGGAATTTTGTATATTCAAAGACCATATCCAAACATCTGAGGCACTTAATGACATGTCCCAGGTTCTGTCTTGAAATCATGTTACAGGTGAATATCTATAGGGCCCGAGAGAAGGCCAAAGGGACCAATACGTGCTTTAGGAAGGCTTATAAGTTTGCTATAAATGGGCCAAGAGAAAAAAAAACAATGGATAAAAGTTTCAGTGAGGAAGATTTTTGACTCAGTATAAAGAAAAAAGAATGTCTAGCAATTAGTGCCATTTGGAAATGAAATAAATGACCCTCTAAGGTGATGAAGAGCCCATGGGCACTGAGGTCTTGCTGGGCACTGGTGACAGAGGGGCTGTATGGGATTCTCCTTCACTCAGCCCGGGATCAGCGGAATCCGGAAACTCAGTGTGTAACGAAGACAAATCAACCTTCCAGATCTGGGGTCAGGTTGAGCCGACAGAATAAAATGCACTACATTCTCCCCAAGCTTTGTTAATGATTAAGCATGCTATGAGCTTAAAATGGGCACAAATCCCCCCAGTTTGGCCAGCAAATGGAAAGGAGTGGATGGATGTTTCAGAAAGAAATGATGCAAATTGGACCTGCCTGCCACATGAGCCCTTGGGAAAGTCGTGGAAACAGAGTGAACTGTTCTATTCCTCCTCTTTGGGCAGCTCTTCCTCTCTGGAAGGAACAAAGAAAGAGAGGGGAAGTGGAGTCGCCAGAAGGTCCCGTGATGGCATGGTGGTGACCGAAGAGTGAGTCTGAGCAGATGCCCAGCGGGCCTGGTCATTACCTGCCTGTCCACCCTTTTTGGAGATAATCAGTTCCAGAAACCTGGGGCTCCATCCGGCAGTTCACTTCCTAAATGTGCTTTGCATTTGCCTCCAAACAATGGGGAAGTCAAGAGTGTAATTTATTTTAAAACTACCTGTCTTTGGAGGGAAATGCAAGCTTCTTCAGATAACTTTTAGAAGAGCAGAATTCAGATTTTCACTTTTGGTACCTGTTTGGGGATATCTTCAAGTTATAAAAAGGATGATACCCAGTAATGGCATTTTTATAAAATACATCTTTGTGTGTGTGTGTGTGTGTGTGTGTGTGTGTGTGTGTGTGATTCAAAGAGGAAACTGTATTCATTATGGAAAATTTGAAAAATACAGAAATATACAAATAAAGGGTGTGGGCACATGTAATCAGTGAAGAGATAAATATTGTCAGCATTCTGGCATTTTCCCTATCATTCTTATTTGGCTGTGTAAAAACTGGATTGCTCTATGCATGCATACTCAGAACTTAATTTGTTCATTTAACTACTAGTATAGTATAAACATTTTCAATACTCATGAATGTATCTTGTATGTTACATTAGATATATCTATATTCTAATTGTCTGATCTATCTATATTCTAATTTTTAACTGTGGAATAGTGTAGCCAATGGCTGTACCAATAATTAATGAATCCCTTGTTGATAAACATGTGAGTTGTTCTGATTCTTATTAGCATAGGATGTGATAAAGAATTATGGGTGTTCTTTTCGAGCACCTCCATCATTTTTCTTTGAGTTATTTCTAGAGGAGAAATTTCTAGCTGAAGAGCGTGCACAGGGTGTGTACTGCCTGTTCCCTTTCCCCTGCAGTTTCATCCCCAATTTCCAAAGCTGTAACAATGGGCAGACTTTTCATGTCTCGCAGGTGGCCTGTTTCTCCACACCCTCTCCAACGACGAGTGCGGGCAGTACCAGCATGACCAGTGAAAATGCTCTGTCATCGTTTCAGCTCGCATTTCTCTCACTGTGACAGAGCTTGGCCAGTGTTTCTTGGTCCTTTGTCATTCCTGTTCTCTCCCCTTCTGTGCTCAAGAGCTTCCATCTTTCTGTGTTTATTTTTAAGTATTCCTCCTCATGGGCTTCCACATATATTTTAATTTGAAGAAAAGACATTGGGAATACATTGCTAGAGCCAATATAATTTTTTAAAATGTGGTTAAGAACTATTTTGCAAACTGAATCACCACCATTTAAAAATAAATACATGTGGTTGGGTGTTCTAGCACACGCCTGTAATCCCAGCTTCTTGGGAGGCTGAGGTAGGAGGGTTGCAAGTTTGAGCCTGGCCTGGACAATTTAGCAAGACCTTGTCTCCAAAAAATGTGGAGCTGGAGGTGGGATGTGACTCAGTCGTACAGTGCCCCTGGCTTCAATCCCCCGTCCCCTCCCTAAAAGAAACTTGCTTATATGGGGTTTGCCTAAATCCAATCACTTACCTATTGATTCTTTGACCCTCAATTGATTCTTTTCATCCAGAATACAATGAAGAATGCAATATCCAGGAAGATATTGTAATTTCTAAACTCTAACATGAGAATGAATAAATTTAAATGGTAAAAGTAAAAGCTACGTAAGTCTGTTCCACGTGGCCACCTGCACAAACGTGTGCTCTCTTGTACTGGTGGACTCAGGAGGCCATTAGATGTCCACTGCGTTAGGGCCTGCAGTGTGGCTGGAGCCACAGTCCGTTCTTTTGCTCACCTGCCATTGTAAGAAACTGAACTAACACTCTCACTGGAATATGCCACAGGCCAGTTTAACACCCTGCCCTGGCTTAGATGAAAGATAAAGACTAGGGGTGAGAATTTTCTTTCAGATCCACACCCACACTGTGTGTTTGACAAGGACAGGAACAGTATCCTCAGGTTCCTCTCTTCCAAAGCTCTTGCCGCAGTTTTAGGTTGCCTGTCGGGAAACTATTGGTAATTATCCAAATGAATGGTTCAGCATTTTTATGTCATCAGAGTAGAAAAGGAGGATGTGCATATCAAATGTGAGAGCCAAATTCATTAGTGGAATGATTCTGCTAAGTCATAAAACACAGAGACAAGATTTGAACTGATCTCTATTTGGAATAAAGACTGTGTGCTTATTCCATATGAGGAGCTGATTCTTATTGTTACCCAGAAAGCCATTAATATCACATAACCCCACACCGTTATGGATAAGTAGCATCAGTCAGATCAGCCAGGGCAGAATCCAACTCTTCTCGTTCCAGGGTCTCATAAAATGCCTAGCAGGTGTTGATTTAGAAAGCAAGAGGTAGATGAAACAATTTGAATATCTTTCTTTTCTCATTTTTCAAGGTTTCAAAAATGAGGACAATGAGACTCTGGCGTGGGAGGGTGTCATGAAGGAAAATTACCTCGTCAAGATCAACACGAAAGCCAATGACAACTCGGAAGAGTATGTGGGTTGCTCGTTTCTGCTTCACAAAGCCCCCTTCGTATAGTAAGCTGGGAGGAGAGTGTAGACAGTTCATTTGTGCATGCTCTGGAAAGAGCATCCACAGGGGGCAGCCATAGGGCCATGTCGACGTCCCCAGGCAATTGAAGATGACAGACACCTAGTGTTTGCCAGCCTTTCAAGAAGGGAAAAGCCATCCCCTGCTACCCTGATTGTCTCTCAGGTTCCTGCGGGAGAAACAGGTAGTTGGAGCCTACAGTGGAAGGCCACAGAATCAGGTTACAAGAGCTACTGCTGCATAGGTGGGTTCTAGGAAGCTCCACAGGTCATGGGCAGATGGCTGTAGGGGCCACACACCTGTTTACCACTTTGATGCCGAAGTACAGAGACCAGAAGAGGGAACATACATTGACTGATCTGCCGTAAGCTCTCCCTGCAGTCTTGAACATCATTTTTGCATTGCAAGGAGTTGTTGTAAATGCCCATGCGATTCATAAACATAGTCATTAAGCATCTTACAGAAATGGCTAAGGTTCAGCTAATTCTCCAGGTGGTCCCCAAGTAACGTGTTATGGAGTCTATAAAAGCATGCTCGTCTCATTGTGAAGCTTAGCAGTCTTCACAGACAGCTGCTGATCTTCCTGGGGGGTTCAAAACATACCTCAAAATGTGCTCTAGCAAACCGTGAAGAAGTATAAGTGCAAGGAATCCCTTTGTTAGGTCCCACATGCTATTAAAGTGGCTCTGAGACTATGGAGCAGGAGGGGGACCGAACCTGCAAATGCTCTTATCCCGCCCAGCAGGAGAGGCAATGTTTATTTGCTGTCCTACTAATTGTGACAAGAAAGGCATTCTGCTGTGTTTGGGTATTAGAAAAACAATTCAAAAGGTGAATGCAGCTGGCTCTTGATTGAGCTAGAAATGAAAATGACCCGTATTCTGCCCCTTAGAGACTGAAATGAGGGCAGTGAGCCCTCTCTCAGCCTCTCTCTCTCTCTCTCTCTCTCTCTCTCACTCTTTCTATAATTTTTCTGCAGGATGAGGCATCGTTTTAGACAACTGGATACAAAGGTATGGCTCCATTTATAGTTCGGGGATTTACAAAAATCTCCAGGGTCTTTGAGCTTTCAGTTAGAAGTCCACAGTGACAGTTAAAAAGGGAAAGAAGTTAATTGTTAAAAAAAAAAAAAATAGAAAAGACTCTTTTCCATATGCAGTTTTCTTCTTTTACCAGGTAAGAGCTAGGGGCTGGGACCAATGGCTTCCCCTGCTTCCAGCCCCTTGGAAGCGCCACGTCCATGATTCGTGAATCCTCTCTGTGTCTAACCAGGCTCTCTCCTTCTCTCTGCTGTGAAGCAGATGAAGATGTTTGCAATTATGGGGAACCACCAGAGAGCTCAGAGGAGCTGTGTGGGAGCCTGTGAACCACTAGATGAGTCTTTGATACCAGTCTGCTTTGGTATCTACTTAATTTGGAGGGTGTTTTGCAGGCACAAACACACCTGTACGTGCTGGGCACATGTAGCCAGAAATGATCATGAGTTCAGCAGAAATTACAATCGATTCGTAAATACCAGATGCCTCCCCGGCTCCGAGGAGCCGGTGATATGAGCTGTTTTATCTGAGTATTTGGAGAATTCTGATTGGTGACGTTCACCTACTGTGCGTTGTACCTTCTGATGGCTGGACAGGATCCCATGTGGTGTGGCCGTCTCTCCAGCACCCAGTACCTGGTACATGGTAGGGACAAATGTTTGTTGAATGAATGAAAGGTGCTTTTCGCTGAGCTTTAACATGAAAATTTTTCCAACACAATTACTTGTTTATTTATTTGTCCTTTGCCAATAATTTTAAAAATCAAGACCGTGTTTTCATGGGCCTCACCTTCAGGGTCCCTTGCAGCACATCAGTGACCAGAACTCTGGCCCGTGCCTGGTGCCCAGGGTCTTCTTGCTCCTCTGGGGTGGTTCTTCCCTCCTTCTGCTCTTCGAAGCCCCTCTCCTCTGCAACTGCCTGCTTTGTATGTGGAGCCAAACCTTCAGGATGATAATTCACTATGTGCCAACCGCTGAATGTATTAGCCACAATTTGGTGGTCTATTGCCACCTAATGAAGTGCTCCACCCTTTAGTGGCTTCTGACAAGCACTTTACTCAAGATGTATGGGTCAGGAGTTTGAGAAGGGCCCAGCCAGGATGTTCCACTTCCTGTGTCCCCAGCTGGGCTCCAGGCATGGACCTCATGTTCCTCCCCAGGATTCTTCCCTCCCTCTTGGTGTCTCATCCTTTGGGGCCTCTGTATATGAGCAGGCTTGTTACAGCATGCTGGTCTTGTGGCTGGCTTCCAGGAATGACAAAAGAAACTACCAGTACTGTTCCAGGTGAGGCCTAGAGCTGTCAAAGTATCACTTCCAACAGAGTCATCATGGCCCAGCCCCTGGAGGAGGACGTGGTGGCCGCCATCTTTGGTGACACTCTATCATACCAGTGGAGGTCTTGCTACCATCTACAGTGACACTCTAGCATACCAGTACATATCTTGTTACAGGTTCTCTAGTTCTGAGGTTATTGTTGCTGGTTTTAACCAAGGGACTGGGAGGACCTCTGTGTCATTAGCATCGAGTGACTGCACTAATCATGTCAGGATGTATATTTAATCAGTGGAGAGAGAAAAACAAAGTGCTGGATGTTTTTAAAGGTTAGAGAAGATTCAAAGAATTTTTGAGAGAATACATGAAAAAACAATAGGAGACAGGATTCTAAGATTTGATATTTATGTTAGACATACATAAAACCTTTCATGATATAATCACTGTTTTCTACATCATGTGTTCTTATTAAAATATACTGCCTGCTGAATCTGTGTGTAGGCCACTCCCTGCCAGGCATTGGGCTAAATCTGTCAAAGCAGACATGGCACCTGAACTTTATGGATGAACTTTTTCTTAAATAGTCTGGGTACAGGAGGATTTTTCAAGTTCAATCATATAGGAGTGAATAGCAGAAGTGATTTTCTTTCTTTTCTTTTTTTTTTTAATGGTACTGGGGATTGAACTCAGGACCTTATGCTTGCAAGGCAGGTGGAGGAACCACTGAGTTAAATCCCAGCTCCAGCAGAAGTGATTTTTCTATGCAGTATCTTGTATGTGCTCAACACATTGCTTGTGTCTGTGTTGGGAGGGAACAGGAATGGGTAGCTCTGAAGGCCCTAGGTCAGGAGAAGTGTGGGTTGTTCTGAGTGGCCAAAGTGGGCTAGCCTGGACTGGGGGGAGCTGAGTGGGAAGACACAGAGAGACTGGGCAGTTCTGTGTAGGAGCTCACATGCCCCTGTATAGAGTTAGATTTTTTGTCCATGCAAAGGGAGGCTCTGGAGAGATTTAGAACCCAGGAGAGCACATCTGGGGTTCTCTGGGGGCAGAGCCCTCCAAGTGGTCAGAGTGGCAGTATTGAGGGCTTAAACAATCTGGTTAAGGGGACAGAGATCCTAGGGAAGGGGCCAAGTGTTGTGCTGGTAGGGAAAACAGTCTGCTTTAGTGTGTTTTGTTGTTTTGTCTTTACTTCTGGTTTATTTGGGGTGACTTTGGAGGGAGCTGATGGAAAGCCAACTTAGGGATTGGACTAAAGCTCCTCCAAGCCACATCTTTGTCCTGTCCCTACTTGGGGATATGCAGAGTGTCAAAGGAGGGCACCACAGTGGATGCAGGAAGAAAGGAACATGGCAGGAGCCTGAGCCTTCTGAGAAATGCCCTGCCCTGGGGTCAGGAAAACTGGGGAAGAGGAGACCCTGGCTGAGCTGCCCAGATTCCCAGGGGCTGAGTGGTTTGTGGACCTAGAGCTTTAAGCACTAGGCTCTAGGGTGGCCAGCACTGTCAGTAGGGATGGCAGACCTTGCTGGGGTCATGAAGGTGGCCTAGGGAGTCATCAAGAACTAAAATCGTAATTGAAGTCTGTTCCTACACCTGTAGAAGCCAGTGGTCTCCAGGGGGCTGGAGAAGCACTTGCAGGCTGTTTCATTTGCCTCGTTGTGGAGCTCAACGCTCTCTAGGTTCCCCCAGACACCACCTGCACCACATATTGTTTGGGTGTAGGCGGAGTTGGGGCAGACGGTGGGGCACCCCAAGCTGTCCGCTGCCTCTCTTCCCTTCGCGCCTGTCCCCTGACTCTCCCCTTTTTGTATCTCTCCTGAGTTTTCTTACTGCCTCTTTCGAGCAACAAAAATATCCTCTCCTTTACACTCATAAAATTTTGCCATCATCTTTGGATCTTTTGTTTCTTGAGCAAGCTTTGGGAGTCCTTTCTTTTCCTTTTAAATTAACTTCATTTTGAAAAAGCTTCATTGAGCTATCCTTGACACAGTGTACTATGTATTACTTAAGGTGTATAATTTGATGTTTTGACCCATGTATAAATTGCAAAATGATGACCACAATCCAGCCTAGCTACTTAACATATCTGTCACCTCTGCATAACTTCTATTTGTGTGCTGTGTGTGTGTGGAGAGACTTAATTTAAGACCTTTGCTCAGTCTGGGGATATAGATCAAGGTAGAGTGATTTCCTAACACGTGTGAGGCCCTGGGTTCAATCCTCAGCAACAAAAAAGAAAAATAGACCTATTTTTCAGCAAAATTCAGGTTACAGTGTAGTGTTAATTACAGCCCCCGTGCTGGACAGTAGCTCTCAGAATTCACTCATCCTCCATCACTGAGACTTTGTGTCCATTGACCAGAATCTCCCGCTTCACCATCCTGTGGCTCCTTCTCTTTAAAAACACGGCCGAGGGCCAGGGATTTAGCTCAGTGGTTCTGCCCCCTGCCTTGTAAACACAAGGTCCCGAGTTTGATGGCCAGTACCAAAATAAATAAATAAATAAAAAATAAAAACACAGCCAAGTTTCCCATGAGATGCACATAGCACATTTGCTCCATCCACAGATCCATTGATTGACACCTAAGGTGTCTCTATAGTTTGGCTATTCTTGTGCATAATCCACATTGACTGTGCTAACGCAGATATCTCTTGCTGATCCTGATTTCAGTTCTTTGGATATATACCTAGGAGTGCTGGTAGCTGGATTATATAGTAGTTCTCTTTTCAGGTTTTGAGAAACTTACACTCCGTTTTCCATAACAATGATATCAGGTTACATTCCCACCAACCGGGTACAGGGGCTTTCTTTTTTCACATCTTTGCCCACATTTATTTTTCTTTTTGACAATAGCTATCCTGACAGATGTGAGTGGTTTCTCACTGTGGGTTTCACTTGCATCTCCCCGATGATTTGAGATGTTGAGCACCTTTTTTCATAAATGTGTCAGCCACTTGAATTTCTCCTTTAAGAAAGTGTCTGTTTAGGTCCCTTGCCCATTTCTTAAATTGGGTTATTTGTGGTTTTGCTACTGAGTGACATGAGTTCCTTATGTATCTTGGATACTAACCTCTAGTTAATATATGGGTTGCAAATATTTTCCCTTTTCCACAGGTTCTTCTTTCAAAGTGTTGAATATTTCTTTTTCTGTGAAGAACTTTTTCTTATAATCTACTTGTCTATTTTTGGCTTTTATTGGCTGTGATTTTGGGACTTTGTTCAAAAAAATCTTTGGCAAACCAAGGACAATGTTTTCCCCCTATATTTTCTTCTAGAGCTTTACAGTTGCCAGTCTTCCATTTAAGTCTTTGGCTTATTTTTGCTTTGCTTTTTGTATTCGGTGTGAGATACAGGTTCAATTTCATTCTGCATGTGGAGACCCAGTTTTCCCAATACCATTTGTTGAAGAGCCTACTCTTTCTTTCTTGTATATTCTTGGTGCTCTTGTCAAAGATCATCAGACACTAAATACATAGGCTTATTTCTGAGTTCTGTCCCATTGGTCTATATGTGTGTTTTTATGCCAGTACCATACTGCTTTGATTATGATAGCTTTGTAATATATTTGAAATCTGGTAGTATATACTTTCAGTTGTATTCTTTTTGCTAAAGATTGCTTTACCTATGCAGGATCTTTTTGATTCTCTATGAATTTTATGATTTTTTTATTTCTGTAAAAAATGTTTTGGAAATTTTGATAAGGATTACATTGAAACTATAGATCATTTTGTGTATTAGGAGCACTTAACAATATTAACTCTTCCAATATGTAAACATGAGATGCTTTCCCATTTATTTCTGTCTTTTTAAATTTCCACTATCAATGTTAATACTTGATGTATATCTTTTACTTCTTTGATTAAGTTAATTACTAAGTATTTTATTCTTTTTGTTACTAACATAAGTGGGCTTGTTTTCCTCATTTTTCTTTTGGACCACTCATTGCTAGTGCGTAGAAATGTCACTGATTTTTGTATGTTCATTTTGTATCCTGAAATTTTACTTAATTAATTTAATGTTTCCAGCAGGGTGGGTGTGTGTGTAATCGTTGACTTATCTACATACGTGATTATTGGCAAATAGATTTGGATACCTTTTATTTCTTTGTATAATATAGTTGCTCTAATAGGATTTCCAGTACTATTTGGAATACCAGTAGTGAAAATTGGAATCCTTTCTCATTTCAAATGGTAAAGGAAAAGATTTAGCTTTTCCCCTTTGAATATGATACTAGTTTTTTCCTCCTTCATATATTGCTTTTATTGTGTGGTGATAATTTCTTGCTGTTCCTTTTTTGTGTGTTTTTATCATGATAGATAGCTGAATTTTTTTTTTTTTGATAGCTGAATTTTGTCAGCTGCTTTTTCCACATCTACTGAGCTGACCACAAGATTTTTGGTCTTTGTTGTTAATATAGTTTATTGCTGATTGATTTTCCTATGTTAAACCATTCTTACATACCAGGATAATGCCGTTTCCTTGTCGTAGTCATCTTTGACTGAGGGACAAGAGTGATGGGGGCCTCAGTGAATGAGTTTGAAAATGCTCCTTCGGCCACCTTTTGGAAGAGTTTGGGGAGGGTTGGTCTTTGCTCATCTTTCATGACACCACCCCTCCTAGGCTAGCTTCGCTAGGAAGTTTTTTATGCCCATTCTTTCTTCCTGTTTGTTGTAGGCTTGTGCAGCCTTCATATTTCTTCTGGCTTCAGTCTCGGTAGTTTGCATGTATTTTGAGACAAGGTGAGTTCTCAGTGAAGGCGCTGTTTGCGTAGTGCCTGCCAGGGGTACTTACTGTCCCTGCTGGGTGGCGCAGTATATGGCTGTGAGCTGTGACCAGACAGTCCTCATGTAGGAAACTTGTTTATCCTGGAAGATGGCTTTGTGGCTCTTGTTTAACCGTGGCTCTGGTGTTGACTTTGGTTCTTTTTGGCATGCAGGGAAAGCTCAGCCTGGGGTAACCCCTGGTTCATGGAAGGGGAAAATCCAATACACAACCATAGTAGGAAAAGAGGATTTCTTTCCTTAGTCTTGCTAAGAGTTTGTGAATTTTGTTTATCTTTTGACAAAACCGACTCTTAGTTTTGTTCATTTTTCTACCATTTTTCCATTCTTTATTTCATTTATTTTACTCTTAAGAGTTATGTTCGACTTTAGACTGCTTATTAAAGCCATTTTACTATTAATAAAATTCCCTGTGCAGGATAAAAAATGTCTCCTCATTATACCAGAAAACAAAGTTGCTCATAACTGACCTAAGTCTGTAAGTAGTTATCTTGTGTCTTCTTTATTTAGGGAGCCATTAAGTCATTCACCCTGATGTTTTAAGTTAAAGGAAGAGGTTGCTACTGGAAATAAGTCCAATTTAAATACAGATTTTTTGCATTGGGTGAGTGGTGTAGCAAGTTGGAAACCAGCCTCACAGAAATTATATTATGTCTATGAACTTTTATCAAGTATATCAGTATGGTGTGTAATTTAACATGAGTTTATGCATCTTGTGTGATAAATTTGTGAAACATGCATACATCAAGAATAACTTCATGGTACCTTTTATTTAAATTATGCTTTAGGGTTTATACTATTTGTGTATGTATGTATTTGTGGAGCAAGATTGTTCATTTGCAAGAAGTTGATTTACTGGTATTATATATTGTTAGTATTATAATTTTATAAAACAAAGCTTTATTAATATCTAATAATTTTATTATGGCATTTACATATAACATTATTATTTTCATATATTACTCTATTGTCATTGTAACCTGTCATTTCTATGAGGGAACCACTAGTGACTTACATGTAAGTTAAGCTAATATTAGTTGGTTTACTAATTGGCTTACTAATTGCTAATGATATGATTTCAGAAATTAAGCAATAATCAGAGCTTGATATCACATGCCGCTGTTATTCTGTCCTATCCCAGATGTGCTTTGTTTGCTATTTAATATGCATGTCTGTTCCATGGAAAAGCCATAGAGCAATCTTTTAAAAATTGAACCTGGAAATTGTGAACTTCAGACCAGTTCTGTTCTTTTATCTTTCTAAGCTTAATGATCTCAAGTGTCTCCTGAAGGAGATTGCTATGAAAATCAAGTAAAACGACATGAACTGTCATGGAAAAAATCTAATTGTAGCAAGGTAAGTGGCTCTAATTTTTTTCTTTGCTCTAAAAATTTACATATTTTAAATTGGCCTGCCTTTGTTCCTTTCTGGCTTTCTTTTTCTCTTTGTCTTTTTTACTTTCTTTCCTGGTACTGAGGATGGAACATAGGGCCTTCACATTGAGCTATAGCCTCAGCCCTTTTTTATTTTTTGTTTTGAGATGGATCTTACTAAGTCACTAAGTTCCCCAGGCTGGACTTGAACTTACAATACTCTGGCTTCAAGATTGTTTTTAAATTATGATAATTTTCTTACTTATTTTATTTTTATATGTTATCAGGTTTGAAAATAGTCCATTGTGCCAAAAAAATTCAGATAATTCAGGGATAGATAGATGATCATGTGGAAGCCCCTCCTCCTGTTTCCTTCCGCACTGTCAGCCAGGGGTTGCAAGAAGCCTTTAGGGCCTGTATAAAGCTCTCAAAACCTACATAACCATTATGACATAAATGAAACAAAGTCGTACTGTTCTAAGACCTGCTATTTTTTGCTTCCTTAAGACTACATCATGGGTATCTTTACTGATTGGTGCCTAAAAAGTATACCCTAGTTTCATAATTTATTATTGTGTTTATTGGTATGAGATGCACACATATATGATGACCACCTTTTTACTAACAAAAACTGTTTCAGTGAGACATTTGAAGGTTTTAGCAGTAGCTCATTTGTACAGTAAAGATGTAATTCAATTAAAGTTGAGCTCAAGGCTTTGCTCCAGGATCTGACAATTTGCTTTAATTGTGTTTCCCCTTTACCTGTATGAAGCCTGAAAGCAAACATCAAAGAGGCTGTTAGGGATACGAGGAGTTAAGAAAAAACAGCAATGGGCATTCCACTCACCTAGAGATTTCTGGGAAAGCAAACTGCAAAGAATGGAAACACAATGAGAATTCCTTCTCCACTCTCTCTTCCTCCTTCCCTCCCTTCCCTCTTTCCATTACTATTTCCCGAGTACAATTGAGAACCCAGACCTCGAGGGCCCTGGGCTGATCGCTGCCTGTGCATTAAGTGTTTGAACGTCACACTCTTCCTCGGTGGAGTGATTGTGCTACAGGGGAAATCACTGAGCTCCTTTCACCCCTTTCACTCTATAGTCACTTGGCTGTCTTCCTTGAGGGAATGACAGTCACAGATCAGGGCCGAAAGTCCTCTGCTATGGAGGATGTTTTTGTCAGAGCAAGATCGATGCACATCTGATGCAACCCGAAAGCCAAGCACAGAAGCCCGCTGTATTCGGGGAGGAAATAGTTCAACACAGTGGTGCTTCATGAAGACAACAGCAAACATTATGATAGATTATAATTTGGATTTCGAAACACTCATCATTTTGCTTAACGCATGAGCTAAAAGATAGAAAACGTAACCAGGAATAGATAAAATATTTTAAAATAATTAAAAAATCTAAAAGTGATGAAAGCATTGTAATAATCAGAAAAGATTCAAATTCAGACATGCACCTCTACCCCTCAAACCCTCTGATCTTCTCATCTCTTGTTCTTTTTCAAATATGTTGACTTCAGTAAAATGGGCAAATGGGCTGATTTCCTTCCTACATACCTCCCTTTGCTTAGCCTTTGACCTTCATTAATATATTTAGAGTTAATTAATTGGTGAACAAAAGTGGCTGGGGAGAAGGATGTTACCTCCCTTCCAGTGTGTGCGGTGTGTATGTGTGCACGCCTCCAAGCAAGCAGACAATGGCAAAATAACCATCTAAGAAAACATGGGTCTCATGCATTCTTAACCAGTGAAATCTTTCGAGAAAAGAATTTGTCAAGTAAGTCCAACTTTTGAGTGTTTTACTTCCAGATATGAGATCTTTTTTATATATTCTCTGTTTCTCATATCTTTAGGAAGGTCACTGAAAATTCAATTTTATAACCAACTGGCTACATGCCACTAAAAAATTACTCTTCCAGGAGAGGGCTGAGGGGAGTCATCTCTTCTTAGGGTCGTGTCCAAGGAAGAGAACATCAGCCTCTGGTGAATGTGACCTGGCACACGTGGGAGGAAGGCAGGAAGCTGACCCTGGGGACAGGTCTTGTCCAGTTCTCCCATCTCCATCCCTGAGTCTGCCTTTGATCCAGCCGCTTACAATGGAATAAACAGACCATTGTGTTACTTCTTTCTCTTTCCCACACCGAGTGAGAAAAGAAGTGAGAATCCAGGGTGAGCTCAGCCACTGGTTTTCTCTTTGTACTTAAGGAGGACTGTTGAGTGTGCAGGGAGGCTGATGCCCCTGTAGATCTTTCTTCCTACACAACAATCCCCCAGTTCTTGAATTTGCTGTACTTAGATTCTGAAAATGAAAGAATCTGAACTTGTTCCTTTGAGAGTTATCACACAACCTCATTTTGATGGATTATTCCAACTTTTAACTTTATTACCAACTCACATTTATTTATGCAGAAACCACAGAGTAAATAAAGTGCTCAGAGACATTTTGGGTCTTCACCCCAGTTGAATGAGCTCAGCCTTGGCCATCCAAGCTCTCTCACAAGATTCACACTGGCAGACTGGCCAGAGTGTGCATCTTTCTGAGCAAAGCATTCTCAGGGCCACTTCCATGCCAAAAGCAAATCTCTTGAGTTTTGGGAGTATACTTGGAGCTCTTCCCAGTATTTCAAATAAACCACACCCTGCCTAAGGATGCAAGTGTGAAATCTCTTCCTAACAGTGTCCTGTCCTTTCTTTCACAGGTGATGTCAGCCAAATGCTAAAGAACAATTTTGCCATGGACTACTAAAGGAGAATTTTTCAGGTCCCTGGATGCACTGAGGATGGTGTTTAGGTCTTCCCAGCGTGTCCACATCTGTGAACAAAGTGTGCGACTGATTTCACACTTGCAAAAGATGGAAAGGAAGAGCATTTCTATTGTGTGTTTCCACAGAGGAGGCATCTGTGACTGTCCCTGTCTGGCACCCTGTCCCGAGGGCTGGGTGTTTAAGTCTTTCTCCCTTCTTCCTTCTCCCTTAACTTTCTTACTTTTAACACAAGCATCAAACAGAAGAACATCTTTGACATTTAAATAAGACCCCGACACGCTTTTATTCTTGTGTTGTTATTTTGCTCATTTCCAGTTGATTCTCTAGTTTTTTCTGTTTGTATTATGGGACTGTAATACACTGATATATATGAAAAGACTTCCAAATCGGGCCAGATTCTAAAACACGCCAGGGCACAAGGATCCTCCTTTTTTGGGGGAAAGTATTTCCCTTCCCATCTTGCTTCACACTTGTGGAGGGAGGTGCTTGAGCAGTGACCTCCCCTCTGGGTCTCCCCACTAGCACCTGGGGATCACCCTCCTCCCAACTATGTGAAAGTCACCCAGAGAACCTGAGAGGCACCCTGGTGGTGTTTGGGTGCTTTTGTTTCTCTTATTATTTTTCCCATTAAAAAGAATACAGAGGTATTGTAGAAAATTAGGCATCACAGGGATGTAGAAAGAACAGAAACAGCCCTTCCTTCCTAAAGTATTCCCTCCACACATCTCTGGATGTTTCCCAACCCCAGTTTTTTCTAGTTTTACTTCCCTTAAAACTTTTTACATAGTGTCATCCTACTAAAGCTACAATTTTTAATAAGCTTTTTCATTTAATGTTTTATTAAAGATGTTTTGTTTATAGTCCCAGTATTCTTAAACATTATACTAATAACTTCATAATATCCAACCTCTTGTGATTTCCATAAGGTTGATCATTTGAAGTCTGTTTCCATTGGCCTGAGGATGAACGTCCTTGTGCATAAATCTTTTTTCTGCATTTGGGAAAACTTCCCAAGGCTAGATTCTAAGGAATATCTATTGATTATCAAACCACTTACAAGGCTTTTACATAAATGTATAGCAAATAGGAATTGCTAACTTGAGCATAAGATATGAGATACACTAAGCTACAACTATTAAAATAAAATATTGCATTTAATCCTTAGCTTAGGAAGAAATCAATGTGCTTATTTCGATATTGTGTTGACATAGAATTGGAGCGGTATCTTACTGAGCACTCTGGCCTGGCCTTCTTTGGAACTGGTGTTATCTGAGCTCAGGAAAGTGCTTGGAGTGCAGACAGCAATTTAAATTAGTTTTCCAGCTTTGACTAGACTATAAACCAGTAGATGAAGAAAGGAGTCTTAGAAGCAAGCTATTAAATGAACATCTAATTAGAAAAACTACAAAAGCATTACCCAAAAAGTCTATTTTCATTTTTTTCTGGGCAGGAGTTGAAAGGGCCATTCAGATCCTTCTTGACATTTGCAGGGAATGAACACAAATAAAAGGTTCCTTTCTACTTAACCCTAAGAATGGCCTAAAAGGGACTCTTACACAATAGGGCCCATCAGTTCACAGTTTCAGATGCTGAACGTGGAGGGGATGAAATTTACATGATAAAAAAGGTCCGTGAATGGAGAGCTCAAAATTTTCTCTGTGAGAGGGAATGTCATTTCCATTTCACCACGGCAACTAAAATACCTGCTGTTTCCAAAACCACCTGGAAGAAGGTGGTGTCTTCTTCACATGGATTGGGAAAAAGATATATGGCAGGGAAAAAAATATGGCGGTCTGTTAGATTGTACAGAGACCGAAGCAGTCTGAACCTCTTGCTCTGAATTCAAGTGGGGAATCTGAATTAAATCAGTAAATTATATTTAAAACTCCCTTGAGGACAGTGTCATGAATTTGTGTGTGTATTCATATTTCCACGGCTGGTATTTCTGCTGGCATAAGAAATAGGCCTGTGTGTACCCCCACTTTGAGCGGCAAAAGAGATTCTCCCATTGACCCTAGAGTCTTGAACAATTGCTCAGAATTCACTTGTATTAGGCAGGGAACTTGTAAGGGTTTCCATTTCTGCTTCTCTGCCGGATGTTTCTGCACTGTTACTCCCTAGGCTTTGTTAAGTTAAATCGTGACTTCCAGTGTAGCTCATGGAAATAGCACAGGCACTGAACATTCCTCCAATCAAAGGTGCTACATCTGTTTGTAGGTACTAAATGTGGCCGGTGTACCTGTGCACAGTCACTGAGTGTCCGGAGGCTTGGTTTAAATGAGCGAGTTAATGAATTAAATAGTAGAGGAATTGTCCTGTGTTGTTTTTGTCATTCTATGGAAAATGAAAAAATAAAATAAAATTCTTTCACTGAGTCAGAGTCATTTCTAAGGATTTCATTCCTAGAGTTACGTGAGCTGCCATCTTTGAGCAGATGACTGGAACATTCTGAACATTCTGATTGAATGCAGGCAGAAGAAGCTCCCTGTGTTCTGGGTCTTGTTAGTAGAGACAGATTTCCATCGGTGGCCCATTTTAAGTGGTTTTGTTTAGCACCCATCTGTTACCCAGGGGCCTCCGGCTTCCCAGTGACACCCCAGTGCCAGTTATTTCTGAGGTTACAGGGCCCTCAAGTAGGCTCACAGGTGGTCACACAGGCTCTGTGGTGGGCTGGCCTGGATGCCCTCTGTGGGATGCGATTTCCTTGCTGTAGGCACCGGCCCCTCTAGTGTTTCCTGCTCCCTCTCCTCCAAACCTTATTTATTCCAGGAGGAACCATGTGTCTTCCCCCACCTGCTGCTTCCTGGTCGTCAGGGAGACTCCCTGTGTGGTTGTCATGGAAACAACTGCTGCCACAGCCTCTGTCTCAAAAACAAAAGGCTTAGAAGTCAGGCCCAGGAGACAGACTTCCCAGGGGGCCTCCCTTGTCCTGAGGATGGTACTCTGGAAAAATCAACCCTGGCTGACCTGTTCATTGGTTTCTGAGCTGGGCAGACCCTTCAGAGCCACAGCTGGGGCTCGGGAGCCTCAGTACACACACTGACAATATCAATTGTTTTAAAATCAGTTTTTTTCCCCTACAAAAGTCTTGTTTGACAAAAAATTGCTGTATTTCCCCATCTGTGTGCTATGTTGTCACTAATGTCTCCTGTGAGCTCACATATGAAAGGAACCTGCAGCCCCCGTCTCCCACCATTTTACCATGTGTTTGAGGAGCCAGGTGAACTGAAGGAGCAGGATTCACACTCCGAGGCAGAGGCCACGAGTGGGCCCTGAGCACAGGGAGGGACACGTGCAGGAGGTGCAGAGGCAGGCGGAGGATCCCTCGGGTGCCCATCCCTGCTGGTGGAGTAAGGAGGAGGAAATTGGCTTCCCCAAATTCTCTCTAGGAGACCATCTGATGTTTGGAGGGCAGAAATTCCCCCAGAAACAATTGTGGGCAGAGAGCAAGACGCAAGCGCTAAAGATGGTCACTGTTGTGTGCCAGGCAAGGGTGGGGCATCTGGAGTCCAGGGGCAACGTGGAGGGGGATTCAGAGTGAAGAAAGGGCAGCAAAATGAGCGCAGGCGAGGAGCCATTAAGGGTACAGATCTTCAGAAAAAGAATATACAAACGTAGGCTGAGGGTGTAGCACAGTGGTAGAGCACTTGCCTAGCATGCGCAAGGCCTGGCTTCCATCCTTAGCACTGCAAAAAAAAAAAAAGGTAAAGAAATGAAGGTGTCACAGCAGCAGGTCGCACAGAATCTTCTAGGGTGTGTTGTGGCCCAGAACAATGGGACGAGTTTGCTTCCCTGGGTGCTGACTCTGCCATCTGAGAAGAGAAGGTCACACAAACTCAGCGTGCCCTGATTTGCTCACCTGTGAAATGACTCCACTTCCTCAGAGGACTGAGAAGGTTAAATGAGGCAACTCAGGAAGTTCATTAACTCAGGCCTTCAGACACTCGCGTGCCTCCTGTGTGACCCCAGTCTGTCCTTAGGGACAGAACCATTGCAGGGACAGGCGAGTCCAAGACAGCTTCGTCAGGAGTCCCAGCTGCAGGGGGCAGGGACAGGGATGCCCAGCCTGGCTGCCCGGGTAAGGCAGGAGGGTGCTCCAGGACTCAGCCAGGGAAAGGTGGACCTTGTCAGGAGGAGAAGTTGAGGCAGAGAAAATGCACTGGGCTTGTGGCTGAGAGCCCAGTTCAGACTTTCTGCCCTGGGCTCAGTCTTGATTCTAGGATAATCTTACACCCACACCTGGCCTGAGTCTGTGCTCGTCTGTCCTTTGTCGCTTCTTGTACACTCTTGGTTCTTAGCAAAATGGCTCACCGCGTGGTTAACTCAAGACGTTCATCCGAACACATCAGGGACGGTTTTCCTGGGAAACTGCAAACAGGTCACCAGACTTCAGGAGCTGTCCCCACATCAGTGAGGAGCCTGGGGCTGGGGGCTCAGCCTGGGGCGGAGGAGCCACGGGGGACAGGGGATTGCAAAGGGCGGTGTTGAAGCCATGTTGCTGCCTTCACTCCAAATGCATCTTTCACACAGAGGATGCTTCACTGTAATTTAAAAATAAGCAACACAGCTGCAGAATTCTAACTCAAGAGTTGAGTAACACTTTTATTTCCCCTAAATTATGAGATGGGTGAATAGTATTTGCACTAATTTTGTGTAAATCATTGGCTTTACTGCCTTCGAGTAAGTGCAAAAGAACAAACCAGTGCTTCCAAGTGCCCCTCCACCTCATCTGTGGGAGAAGCTAGGGGCTTCTGTCCCTGCTAACTGATGGCCTCCCCTACACTGAGCTTTGCCTGTCTCTGTCCTGATTGTTGCCTGCTTCATTTCAGCACTGGCAAATGCGTGTGATGCTCATTGGCTCTCCCCCTCCTCCTCCTCCTCCTCCTCCTCCTCCTCCTTTTTTCTGAGATGATGGAAGAATAAAAAGAGAAACAGTCCTCTGGGCTGGTGCTGAGCGCATCTGCCTCCCATTTCACCTCTCAAGACCTCCGGATGAGTCTCCCACCGAGGTACATTGAGTCCACTGTGCATCCCTGCGGGCACTTCACTTTGCCTTAAATCCACGGAGCTGGCAGCCCTCCCACCATGTGCAGCTTCCCCAGCCAAGCTGTCAGCTTCCTTCAGATGCATCGGGCCATGTGTGGGAGCTTTGTCTGAGCCGTATACCTACAGGGACCTGGAACACACAGGGGTCCAGAGTTCCTGCCCCAGGATGACAGGGGCTGTGGGCACAGTGCCCGCTGTGGGTTTCTGCACCACCTGCACCCTAACAGCCCACCCAGGTGCCAGCACCCAGCAGCAGCCGCTGCTCTCCTCAGAGTCCTTGTCCTTCTACCCCAGGCCCTTCAAAGCCCAGCAGCGCTTGGGGCTCTGACCCCTTCTGTCCCGGGAGCCTCAGGAAGCTACAAAACTCTCATTGTAAGTGAGGGCCATTTCCAGGTCAGAAAACAATTTTCCTTCTACTCCTGAGAGCACTCTGCCTTCCAGCTCTGGAATCCTGGATTTACATCCCATTTCTCTTCTCCTTCTGTAATGAAGCGGCACAGTTGCTCATCCCATTGAGAGATGGGAGGCTCTCATTCTCAGACCTGAAATGCATTTGACTTGAAGGACCGTGCTCTTCCGTTTAGAAAGAGGAGCTCAATTTCCCTGGCACCCAGCCCTTGCCTCTGCGTTGGATGATCCCAGATTAATCCTCTAGCATTTCACAGTCTCAAAGAACGAGAAATCTCCACTGATGAGATGGATCAGAAAAGTCCCTGGGCTTTAGCTTCCTTGTTAGAAAAATGAGAAGCTGAACTAAGTAATTATTCAGGCTCTCCCCTCTTTGGAATGCTGGCATTTTGTCACTCCCTGAATAAAGGCGAAGAGAACAGGCCTTTGGTGCCTTTGAATTTATTTCTGTAAATGGGGCAGGGAGGAAAGGACAGATATTAAATGACGGGTATTGGAAATTTCCTCCTCTGCCCTCTCCCTCAGCTCACTTGGCTCAGCAAGCCACCTTTGGTGTGGGGGTGACCCCAGTGGTGGGAAAATGGGGGAGCAGTAGAAGGGAGAGGAGGGCTGGTGGACGGGTCTGAGAGAGGGTATGTGGAGTGCAGGGGAGGACAGGAGAGCAAGTCAGGGCCGTGTGTGTGTGTGTGTGTGTGTGTGTGTGTGTGTGTGTGTCTGTCTGTCTGTCTGTCTGCATGCATGTGTGTCTATGGGTGTGTACAAGTGCACACACAAACTAAAACTCTGCAGTCTGTTCCCCTGGCTCCCTCCTCTCGTTGTGGCCATTGCAGACCTCCCCCCGTCCTCACTACCTTGGTTTGCCTTGTTTCCCAGTCTCCTTCTGAAGTTAGTGAACAGCCTTGCTTTCTCCTATCATTCCAGTGGCAACTCCTGCAGACTCTTTTCCCAGGTTACAGGCTTAGCTTCCTGGTTCTTGCACTAGAGGTACTGTCCTTAGTCTTCACCAGCATCAGTTCCCTCTTCCTGAGCCTGGGCTGGCTTCCCCTCCATCTTTCTGGGAGTCCCACAGGACTGATGGCCCCTCCTTGTGCTTTCCTTGGGTCTCTTCCCTTCATCTCAACTGAATACTCCCACCGGAAGTATCCCAATGTACCCAAGCCCCTTGTGTCCTCAAAATATGACACCTGTGTTCTCTAACTTTTCATTACCCTTTCCATCTTCTCTCTGCCACAATCCAAGTTTTCACAATATAATGGACCCTTGACTTACAGGTTTAATCCATTCCTGAGGGCTGGTTGTAACTCAGGTTAGTCAGTGAGGGCTCAGGCTCAAAGTGTCTTTCACAGGCAGATCTCAGCATCCTTAGAGAGACCCTGGCCCAGGATTTCTCAATTACTCCCTAGAAGAAAAGTTGCTGTAATGTTCCTTCCAGAACTCTTTAAGGGTTAAATCTGTATCTGAGACCATCTGGGAACACAAGTGGCCAGTATTTGGGTCATAACTCAAGACTTTGGTCATAAGGTAAAACTAAAATTCCAGTGGAACCCAAGTTGTTTGTATATCACACCTGTAACTTCAGGGTCCACTGTATTGTTCCTAGACCCCTGGTCTCCATATCTTTCCTTATGTTCCTTGGTTCACTTGTCTGATGTTTGTCAGCCTTCATGTCCCACAAAGCTCCTCTTCCTGAGCTGACTCCGAGTCTTTCTGTCTGGTGACTTCTCTGGTTTTCCTGCACCACGCTGCTCAGTAGCTTTGACCTTGGTGACTGACCTGCTTCTTCCCAAGGTCCTCTCTTCTCCTGGCTTTCAGGAACCACCTAGAGATGTCCTTCCTATCTTACATACAACTTGTACTCTCTCTACTGAATGCTGGCTGGTTTTTGGTCTCTGTCCCAGGCAGTCTCATCCCATCCCAGGG